CAACTACACATCATCCATAAACAATAAAGTGATTAATTTTTCCCTCTTCCTCGCTGAGTTTGAGAGACATGTGAGAGGGGACATCGCGATTTTAAACTGTAGTGGAGAAAGGGAATCACCCTTGAAAATTCTTCTCTTGATTGCTACTTCACCAATTGTATCATTGTGTGCTGTCAGTTGAGTTTTTCACATCTTTATTCTCTCGTTAAGAATCAACTGGATGTTTTCAGCAGCCCCAACATTCCTAGTGTCTCCATTATCCACTACTTTAGGGACTAAGTCATATGCCTTTTTATAATGTAGCCAAGCCATAGCAAGATTAGTTGGTCTTTTCTTGCAGGATTGTATAACTGCTTTGTCTATCATTAGTTGGTCCTTGGTTCCCCTACTGTTCTTACGACATTCCTTTTGTTCAGTTGGGATTAAATCCCTTTGCTCTAAGTAGTCATTGAGTTCTTCTGCTTATCCCAGTGAGCAACGTCCACATTAAGGGTAAGCATGTTAGTGCGTGATAGTTCCCTACTAAATTTCCCTTATCCGGTTCTTTGATACCATCCACTCGGGCACCTGCACCTCATTAAGACAGTCCTGCCATTGACTACGGTATTTATTCGAATCAGTGCCCAACCTTGATTTAGCGCCCACCTCAAATAAGCGCCCATCCTAAAGGCACAAAACGTTGATAAGTGCCCGGCCTTGAATAAGCGCCCACTCCCACCCCACCACCGTCTCACTCCCACTCAAACTCAAATAAGTGTCCACCCCCACCCCACCCCTTTCCCCTCTCCCACCTCCATAAAATTAAATAAATACTAATACGAGACTTCCCCGAAGACGGAGTTTTCTACAGTGTATTTTACACAAAACCTTGCTTTGCTACATCTTCGCGTTTTGTTAGTACCATTTATTGTTTTGTTGCAAAATAAAAAAACTACACTTGCTGAAAATGTTGAAAATTTAATAAGCGCCCACCTCGAATAAACGCCCACTCTCAAGGTCCAAAATTTAATAAGCACCCAGGGCGGTAAATGAAATAAATGCGGTAGCTACTCTTCCATGCATGAGCTTCATATTTTTCAGCCAGAATCCTTGTACATTAACTAGTCCGGGGACTTTCCAGTTGGCGAGTAATTTTCTCAGCTGCTTCGTGATTTTGTCTACAGTTATCATTAAATCGTCTTGAGCCTCTTTTTAAACCCTTTATAATCGTGATGCCTCCTCCTCCTTATTGTGTTCAACTGAGATAGCCCAAAGCTCACTCCAGAATGACTTTCCACACTCACTTTTTTCATTTGCAAAGTTTTTCTCCAGTTTCCTCTTCATTAGGCATAGGCCGCTCTGACTGGTCTAATTGATCGATTTGCTTGTAAGACTGTCTCTGATTAGATCTGGTATTGTCTAATTCGTTTGTCATACCTCTTTACCTTAATTAGGTGCCTTAGCTGTTATTCTTTGTTTCAGTTCTTCAACAACAACGGCTAATCCCTTAATCTTGATCTTTTACTTTCTTTCCAATCTGTTTTTAATCCTTCTTTTAATGCATTTTTACTTGCTGATCTGCACTAGCCGACTCAGGTCTCCTCTAAATTCTGGGCTGTTTGTTCCCATTCTTCCGCCGAAGCCGAATTCGAAGTCTTTCAGTCACCACCACAGCACACGCAATGTTAAAGTCATTAGTTTCCGTGATGTTATCTGTCTCAATGAAACTAGCAACTTCCTCAGTGATCTTGAGTTCTTCTCCAACCCTTTTCTTTGACACACCTTTCAACTAATGTAATTTCTCCAGCTTGTCTGCACCCATTCTTAATTCACATAACCTGTCCCAAATCACCATTTGCTCGGTGGTAAGTTCTTAACTGGGTTTCAGTGTTTGTTGTTGTGCATCTAGCTCTTGTGGTGTTTCTAGTTGTTTCGGTGATGGCGGTAGTGGTTGGGTATCATCGTCACATCATACCCATTATCACTCCTAGCTTCTCCACCCTCTATCAAATTAGTTTCTTGCATATCAGGCATTCTTTTAATTTCCTCAAGTTCAATGGTTGTGAGCCAGCCACTTCTGAGGACGACTCTTACTTGGTCTGCAAGCCTTTTTTCAAACACATTAAACATTCCTTTCTCCTTCCAGATCCTCATAATTCTTTGTCTATATCCTCTTTTTTGGGGGACACTCCTCATGTAACACTCCGTCAATGTTCTGTTCTCCTCTATCGACCACCTGCACCTTGTCTTCTAGGCCTATTGCCTTCCATAGCAGTTGCTGGATAAGGACCCGGACGAAGAACGCACACTTGATTTAGCGTTCGTCCGATGAATTTTGTTCACTGATATAATTCATTAGCATGTCATCATTTCCATGAGAATGTGAATTTAGAGATTCTATCTCCTAGATACCGTAAAATTCCATGTATAAACCCCTTCAAATATAAGTCCCCCAAACTCTTAACTCAAAAAACCCTCCGTAAAATTGCCCCTCCAAATAGAAGCCCCTGGGCTTGTACTTGGAAATTGCCCTCAAATACAAAGTAAAACAAAGCAAAAACGGGAAATTTCCTTCCAACTATAAGGCTAGCCCAATCAATTTTGAACACCAATTTCCCTTCGTAGATAAGCCCCCCCTGAATATAAGCCCCTCCAAAAATAAGCCCCTCAAAAAGGGCCTTTGAAAATTATAAGCCCTGGGGCTTATTTTAGGAATTTTATGGTAACCTGCCTACCACGGCTGAAGAGTCTCATGTTCCCTTTGTTGTGACCCTAACTGGGGTGGCTTAGGGTTTACTGGCACTTGCCTGGTGCGGGGAGGGGGGGTCATCCATATCTTGAGGATTCATCCTGTCCTATCCCAGTGTCCATATTATTATTATTATTATTATTATTGTCCTGATTGCTCCTTTTACCTTAATCCCGAATGACTCCTTCATAATGTCGCTGGTTGTCAACATTACCATGACCAGTTCACCTGGAGACATGACTCGATCCTTAACTTCATTGCCAAGTCACTTCAACCCGCAATTACTTTTCAATCTATGCCGAAGTTAATGGTTTCCTTAATCCTTCAATAATAACTGGTGAAAATGATCGTCCAAATCTTCTTTTCCTAATTCAGTCCAAGTGCCTATATGTTCTAGAATTATCAGTTTGTTTCGAGTCTAACCTTAATAACAATGCAGTGCGTAAAAAAGAAAAAGACCTGAACTTGATCAAAGAAATTACAGATGTGTGAAATTTGTAAACCTCTCCATGAGCTTCCTTTTTCCGTTTTCTCCGACGAATGCTCAACGTTCTTAGACATGATGAATGACATTGGCATTGACAAAAAGCAGCAACATTACATGTATATAATAAAAAAATGATAAATATAGCCATTAGAGCAATTAAGATAGCCCAGACTTGATGAAATTTTGATATTTGAAAAGTTCAATCTAGTAGTAGTAGTAGTAGTAAATCATAAGACCATTCATGTACATTGGAACAGTTTCGGAGTTGAATTTGGCGAAGAAGTCCAACCAGGTGATGAAGAAAAAATCTAACTAGCTATTAAACTTCATAATTGAAGATATGACTAGTTGGGTAATAAGGTTTGAGATCAGCTTAGTTCTAACTTGCTACTTTTTACAAGGCGTTAGTAGAAAACCTAACTTTACGCTTACCGGACGTTGCGTACCCAGACGATTTGTACCCAAAGTTGAGATGATTCGTACCCAAAGCTAAGGTGATTCGTACCCAAAGTTTAGGTAATTCGTACCCATGCAATAATTAATGCGCGTTAATGGCAGAAGTCTCACCTTCTGGAAAATTAAGGAGTTTCTCAAAGACGGAAGAACGATATTTTTTGAGGACTGACATTTTGCTGTATTTCAAAAAAGTAGCGACGTTACACAAATAACCTTGTTATTTAGGGGTGATGAATGGCAAAATTTTACCTTTGCTCGATTTGCTCGCAACATTTAAACGAGTGCTCGCTTGCTCGTGCTCCCAAAATCTTTGCAGTTGCTCGCATGCTCGCTTTCTTGTCAGTATTACTCGAAATGTTGTAAATCCTTCTTTGGGTTAAAGTAAATGTCATTCTGTATGGTGCTTAATTCCTATAAATATGGCTATCAAGTTCAGTGGAAATGCACTCGATAATTGACAACAATAAATAATAAATCAGCTAATCTAGCTATATATGGTTAAAAAGAGAAGATTTTTGTTACCTTGAGTTTCTCTGAGTTTCTCTACCGCTCTACTCACTGGGCTTTAATTTGTCCGTGTTTTCAATAAAAACGGTTTGGGAGCTTTAGGATTCTTCCAGAAGAGGTTGTTCTGACATGAGGATCTTGTTCCTCTTCAAGTTCTTCTTCATCCACATCATGCAGTCATGTCCCTTTCTTCAACCCCCCATGTGTGCTCGAGACATTCTTCGAAGAGCTCTTGGTTAAAATCGATATGAAAATCTTCGTCTGTGAACTGCACTTCCCAAACGGTTCCAATCACAAGATGTTTCTCTACCTGAGCGGTGAACTCGTAATTGAATATTAGACAATCTTCTGGATCGCTTGCGTACAGGTGTGTTTTTACTGTAGACGAAGTTCTCTTACGGTTTTGTGCAAGCTTTCCTAAAATAAAGGGTCCACTGATCCCTTTGAACTTAGCGACGAGTATCACATCGTCTTAGTTCGCAACAAGTGCAATACTCTCCTCTCTCTCAACATTTTCTTCATTCACGTCAGCTGTTACGCTTTCTTCTTCCAACCTTTCAGTGAGGTCCTCCAAACTCGCTGGATTGTTTGGAAGCTTCCGTCGGCCATAGGCGCTGATAGGCAAAGCGCCTGGATTTGGATTTGATTGCGCTCTGACGCTCCGCTGTCGTGTGCTATCGCCATAAGTTCTAGCCCATTGCCTAATCTTTTCCACATCTTCTTTGCATCCTTTCCTCGCTACAGGGCTAAGAACCTTTGGAATCTCTTTAAAGACAACCATCCCATATATAGAGCGTAACCTTCACGCTTGCTTTTGAAAGCACCTCGGCGAACTTTCTTCAAGTTACTTTCCATTTCTCCGGCTAAATGAGCAAACAAATAACAATGCTGAAACGGAGGCATTTGTTCCAAGGATAATGTCCAACCATCGCTGGGCCATGTAACTCTCTTGGGAAGATTATCGCTGGTTTGTTGTGATCGCAGCTGGCGCGCAAGTCGAAGTCTACGAAGATGTATCCATCTGGATCGACGATTTCCTTGTCCTGGCCAGATATTTGATAATCCTTTATTCTATTAAAGTGAAAGACACAGCTGGAGCCTGAGAAAATCGCTTTAATTCATAAAATACTGACAGAACTACAAACCTTGCAAGTAATTCTCTTCGACTCCCACCCGCACTAGCACCTCGACTCTTTAACCAACGTTTAAGTGGTTCATTATGAAAGATTTGAGGATCCTTATTTTTGAACGATGTCCCTGGGACATCGTCCTCAGTCAAAACAATTCTTCTTGAAATTTTCGAAATTTTCCTTGTTTTCATGACTTTTCGCATTAGTTGCCGCCATTTTTTTTTAACTTTCGCGGTCTTAACTACTACAACCATAATGCACAGCGCGCATGACGTCATCATTCAAATGGGCTATTGCATTAATTGCCTGTGAATTGTTGCTGCAATTTATCGTGCCTCTCACCAGCTATCTTCAAAGGGTTGTCCTAAACCTACTCCAAGCACACACGCATGCCAAAGTGGTCATCCAATCACTTCGCAGTGAGCTTAAAGACGGGTCCTGGAATAAGCTGTATCAAATGGCAGTATCTGTTCTGGCAAAGCGTGATGTCCCAGTTTGTAAACCTAGACTAGCTGGCCGATAGTTGAATCGAGAAAATGTTCCATCAGATTCAGTAAGTGACTACTACAAACGAGCGATGTATTATCCATTCCTTGACCCTATTGCTATAGGAGCTTGATTCGCGTATTGTCAAACCAAGTCCACTGTTTGCTATAACAAATCTTTTGCCGAAAAATGTAGGCAACTGGTCTCCAGCTAGGATCAGTGTCAAACAAGTTTTGGGCGCGTGCAATCCCGACATGCCGGAAGAAATTAGACAATTACAGGCAAGTGCGGTGGAAAACACGTTGGGATAGAGTGCACGATCCTCTGGCCACAGTTGTTAAAACACTTCCTCACTGTCACCCGCAAGAGTTCCCAAATTTATCCAGGGCATTTACAACACTTTTAACTCTACCATTCACTACAGCAACTGCAGAGAAGTCTTTCAGTGCACTGAAAAGCCTTAAAACCTGACTCGCTCTTATGCATTTCCACAAGCATGATGTGTCATTCAGTGCGGAAGATTCAACTCCAGATTCAACTAACTACGCATACAATTAACTAGCCTGGGATAAGGCTCCGCAGTGGGGAAAGGGCAAAAAGCGGGGAACGAGAAAAAAATAGGCGAGCGGGGACTGGGGAGTGGGGAGGAGGGAGGGGCGGCGGAGCCTGAAGACATGCCTTTGATGCCGCTGATCCGCCCTCCAGCAATTAACCTGTCATAGAAATGTCAACAAAGGCATGTGTCCAGGCTCCTCTGCCCCTTCCTTCTCCCCGTTCCCTACTTTTCGCTCTTTCCCCACTGCGAAGCCTGGTCCCAGGCTAACAATTAACAGAAACACTTGTGAAGGCAAAACCACAACGACCAAACCAATGAGGGTCCGCCGGATCTTAAGTACACCTGGATCAGTAAAATCTTGTTTCCCAAATTTTAAGCTTAAAACAGTAAGCTGATCCTCACGGCAGGAAGAGTGATAGAATAACTAAAGAAAGAAAACAACAAATAAAGTGGTAAATTATATTTGCCCCATATTTCGGTTTGCAACACAAACCTTCAACGGGGGCTATAAAAGAAAAATGAATACAGATAAAAGGTGAACGTTGCATTTGCGAAATTTGAATACATAAAAAACAGAAAATGATAGGCTACTAAAAAGATAAATGTCACTAATTGAGTTCATCACGTCTATTTATACCATGAGGTTCTAAAGTCATAGCTTTATCAATGAGGTGAGCTTCGCGTGCCTTTCTGACAGAGTCGCGTTTGCTACGGATTAGTTCTTAGGGAATAAGAAGGACGTCATTGATAGAGTGATCGGCTTGATTAAAATGTTAGGAGATAGGAATGGGATTAGAAAAGTGGCCGTAGTTGAAAATGGAGCGGCGATACTCCCCAAAGCGTTGGTGGAGATGGTGCTTTGTCTCCCCAGTGTACTGTTTACCGCACTTTTTGCATTCAGAGAGATAGATAAGGTTTCTGGATTTACAGTTTAAGGGGTCATGTATACGTCGTTTCTCTTTGGAGGAGGTGAAGGTAAGGCAGCGTGGATGATATGCATTTTGTTACGCCGGGAGGTGGTCTTGTTGTATGCTACAATCACGTAAAGTGTCTTAACTTGGGATGAAACGTGCCTGGTTAATTTCTTTTTTAAAAAAAGTGGCTGCTGTATCCTCGTAGTGTCAGAAAGTTTATAACTTTATCGCAGAGTTTATTAAAGAAATCGTCAGTGGAGCAGATGCGACGCAGACGTAAGGTAAGGCTGAAATGAATGGTGCGTTTTGTGTGGACAGGATGGCACGAGGTTTTGAGAAGATATTGGTGCTTGTCTGTGGGTTTTGTGTGGAGATCAGTTTCTACTAGGCTGTTGTCGAGATGGACTTGTACATTTAGGAAGGGAAGACTGATGTGAAGAATTTGAAAATTCGTGTTTAAACTTGACCGTTGGATGGATAGAGTTGATGTAGATGTAAGAAAGTTTGAAGATTGTCTTCTCCTTCTGTCCACACCATGAAGATGTCATCAATAAACCTCCACCAAACGTAAGGTTTGAAAGGCGCGTTTTCGATTGCAGATTGTTCTAATTTTCCCGTGAATAGGTTAGCGTATGAAGGTGCCATTCATGTTCCCATGGCTGTCCCGTGGATTTGAAGAAAGAGTTGGTTGTTGAAATTGAAGTGGTTCATACCAAGAATCATTCGGATGAGGTCACAATTAACAGTCTTGAGGGTGTGATCTGTCTAGTGTATTACCGGGTCACCTTAGGGACGGGCCTGCAACAAGTCAAAAACCTTGCTACGCCCCTGACCAGCACATTTCTTTTGTTTCCCACCACCACCACATTTCAATCGTTTCCCACCACGACCACCACCACTACCACCACATTTCTATTGTTTTGACTCCATCACCACCACATTATGTGTAGTTAACGTTATTCACAATACCCGCCATCTTTGCTCGCGATGTAAGACTGATGGGATAAAAGCAATGTCACATGGTTTCGCATGGGGCAAGCAAGTGAAAACGATTGCCAATGCAAGAAATCACGGTTGAATTTGTTTATTCTAGAATACAATGTACAGACAATAATCATTGTTACGGTACTTCTTTGGATGCAGTAGCAACCGTAGATTTCCTTACAGCAAATAACATTGTTAGACAACTGATTTCTTTGCAACACTGCGCGCTCCCTTTGGTTACTTCGAGCTCAGATGACATTAACAATGAAACTGTTTCCCGCCAAAATATCTGAGCAGGCAAAATTGCAGAGGATAACAGTGCACTGATACCTGCGAATGTTGACCGACGACCGCCGTTACAGTGACGTTTAATAAATTTTCAGCTTCAAAATTTCCAGCTATATAATGAATCACTTATTCGCCTCAGTAAACATGGAAATTTTTGGGAAACAAAATTTACTGTTTCCCTCAGGACCAGTCATTTAGTGTTTAATGACTTAAAAAAATATTGTCAAAACTCGAACTGTACATAATACACAAAAATAAAAATAATAATAATAATTTTTATCCAATTGATAAAATACAAATCGAGAGTTACAAAGTCATAAAAAAAAGTCAAATTAAAAATTACAATTAAAGTAATATCATATTCTTAAGTTATAATTAAGGCATAGCCTATTTACCAAACAGTTTTTGAAACACTCAGTTTTAACTAAAGGTAGCTGAAATGTCTTTCTGCGAAGCCTTTGGGAACAGTCGTTTACAGTCGGTAAAATAGAATATGAAGGATGGTGTTCGTCCTCTCTAATTTATCATAGAGCTTTCTGTCAGAGTGTTCCAAAGTACTTAATTTTTCTAAGATGTAGCATCTTTTATGGCATCCATTAGAAAGCAATCCATAACAACAAGGTCAGCCTTAACTTGCTAGTACAATAAATCGAGAGTCTCGATGTCAGTTTTGAGAGCACGATTGTCAACGTCTTTCTGCCCATAGCCCTGTTTTCTTAATCCTCATATTACAAACAAGCGTTTGTTAGCCACGCATAATTTGGTCTTAACATGTTTGGAAAATTTACAGTTGGATTGCCAATGAAAGGAAGCAACTTCGCACCCACTGGGCGCACTTTGAGAACTACCTGTCTCCAAAGAGCTATTTTAGACTTGCAAGGTACAAACTCCGAACCTTAGAGCAAGAGGCTGATGAGACAGTTGATTCATTTGTGAAGAAAATTCCAATCCTCGTGGGAGAGTGTCAGTTTATGAGTCCCGATGAACACATCATCGATGCACTTATTTTTGGTTCTAATTCGGAGCATACGCAAACTAAGCTTCTGGAAAAGGACGCCACACTTACCCTTGACACCGCTTTGGATATTGCAAGGACAGATGAAGTCACAAGAAATCAAATCAAGGGGATTGTAACCGATAATTCTGCGCGAACTGATGCTCTTAAGCGTGGCCAGGTTCCTTCTAATGCAGCAAATTCACCCAGCAAACCCTGTGGCCCCATCATTCGTTTATGTGGATGCTGTGGTTGATATTTCTCAGCGAACCTTGAGTCCAGCGTTTGGATCAATTTGTGGTGCATGTGGTAAGGAAAATCATTGGAGGAAAGTTAGTCGCTCATCAAAGCCTAACAGGAAAAAGAAAAATGCAAGGGGAGGTTCCAAGCATTCCAAGTCCTCTAAAGAGAAGCGTGGCCCGGAGAAGCATTTGCATACCCTGGAGACTCATGATGAAGCCGAAGTTGACAATGCAGCATATCTACCAGAACAGCTATATTTCCACACCCTGTTAATTGACCAGGTTACAAAAATGATACTCAAGCCTTCTTGGAGCTGGAAGTCGAGGCTGATTAGCGTAAGAAACCACTTGTGTGCAAGGTCGACACTGGTGCTGAGGGAAACATCATTTCTCTAAATTCCTGTAAGTCTCTATTTCCAAGCTCGCCATGTAATCCTAATGGTATTCCTGTTAACTTGGCATCATCCAGTACTACCATAGTTGCATTTGGTGGACATCCTGTTGATCGTCATGGCATTTGTCATCTCAAACTAGCTCATGGAAGTTCATGTAAATACTACATGTTCCATGTTGTTGATGAAGATGGTCCAACTATCTTGGGCCCACCTACCGGTACAGATTTAAACCTGGTTAACATGAACTTTAGTATGACAAGCCACAAGAAAGAGTCCAAACCAAGTGTTGTCCAGCAGCCCATTTGCAATCCAAACCCAGTGGCCAAGAGGGAGATACCCGAACAGAATGGTAATTGCTTTGAAAGCGTCGGTTCCTTTCAGGGTTAATTTCATATTACAGTCGATGCTGCGGTTTCTCCAGTTGTGACTATCAAATTGTCATCTCGTTTTGATAGAATATAAAACAAAGTCGACTGCGATTACTCGTATAAGCAAATTTTAACTCTTATTTGCCCCCCGAAATACCACGTGACATTTCCATCGCTCATATAGTCTAAACTCAGTAAAGCCAAAGCCGGGGGCTTATACGGCCTGTGGTCAGAATGACAGAAATTATTTTATATAGAAATGAAGACTGTAGGCTAAACTACAAAACTAAAACAAGATACAAAATTGAAATTAAATAAGTTTACATGCATGCAGTCCTATAGCAGTCCTATAACAGTCCATACCTAGTGACAAATAAACTAACAATTAGCTATGAGAATCCTGCGCTAGTTCAATTTAGGCTTAAAAAGTGAAGTTTTAGTTTCTTTTTGAAGTTACTAGTGGTAAGGCTGTCACGAACAGTCAAGGGGATATCGTTCCAAATAGTCGGGGCTTGAGAACTAATCGCAAATTGATACCTGAGGGACATTTTATGCAAATTGAAACGAGAACGAGTTAAATAATCATGAAAATCACCATTAAAGTGGAGGAGGGAGGAAAGAGAGGCAGGTAAAAGGTGATTAAAGTGTGAGAATACAAAACAAGAAACATGAAGTTTATAAAGTGAATGGAGAGAAAGAATATTAAGCTTCGAGAAAAGAGGCTTAGAACGAGTTCTTGAAGGAGAAAAGGTGATAATTCGAATGGCTTTCTTTTGGAGTAGATAGAGGGGTTCAAGGTAGGAGGCATATGTAGATGCCCAGATGAGGTTACAATAGTTGATATAAGGTAGAAAGAGGGAATTATATAAGGTTTTTAGAGTGACCGAAGGTAAGTGTCGTCTCGATTTAGACAAAATTCCTATAACCTTAGCGAGTTTATCGATGGAAGTGATGTGCGGTTTCCATGAAAGGTTTTCGTGAATAACTATTCCACGAAATGTATGTTCCTGTACCCTGCTATAGGGGTGTTATTTATTAAGATGTTTAATTCTGAAGGATTGATCTGTTTACGTCGTGGATGGAAGATGATGAATTTGGATTTATCAGGATGAACAGTAAGCTTGTTTGCGTTAAACCAGGAGGAGACATGAGAAAGCTCTTGATTAACCATTCTAGTTAAAGTAGCCAAGTCTTTATGACGAAGAAACATATTGGTGTCATCAGTAAAAAGGATAAATGAATGATAATTTGAAGAGAAAGAAAAAGATCATTAATGTATAGGAGGAATAATAAGGGGCCAAGAACAGAACCTTGAGGGACCCCACACACAACAGTATTATTAGAAGTAACATGACCATTAACCATAACATACTGTTGTCGGTTGTCTAAATAGCTGGTGAGCCAAGCTAGAGGAATACCACGGATACCATAAAAGTTGAATTTGTCAATAAGTATCTGATGATTTACAGTATCAAATGCCTTCTTGAGGTCTAAGAAAATTCCAATAGCGTATTCATTACTTTCAAAGCCTTCATATGTATTGTTTACAAATTCGAGGATAGCCATAGTTGTAGAATGATGTGGTCTGAAGCCATATTGATGGTGACTAAGAATTTCAAATTTTTCAAGAAATGCAGACAAACTGAAGTAAAAGAGTTTTTTCAAAGACCTTGGAAAGACAGGGGAGAATAGAAATAGGCCTGTAGTTAGAGAACAAGGAAGAGTCATCACATTTGAAGATGGGAAGGATCTTGGCTGTTTTGAGCTTACCTGGAAAAACACCTTGAGAAAATGACAGATTACAGATATGGGTTAAAGGGGCAGCTATTAAATCAATAGTATCTTTTATAGGGGAAATACAAAGGCCATCAAAACCCTCACATTTACTATTTTTTAGAGAATGGACTATATTAGCAACCTCAGTGGGAGAAGTTGGGTTAAGATAGAAACACTTTGCGTAATGACCAATCAGAAACTCTCTATACGTAATTTGAGTGGGAGAGATTTTATTTGCCAAAGAAGGACCAACATTAGCAAAGAAATTATTAAACTTTGTAGCTATCTGAGTAGGATTTGAGTATGAACCAGAACTATCTTTCATGTTATTGAAACGTTGCTCAGGTTCCTTTTTGGAGATAATCTATTTTATGACTGACCATGTCTTTCTTAAATCTGAACTGACAGAGAGCAGTTTGTCATGGAAGAATTTTTTCCAAAAAGTTGAGAATTAGAGGAGCATCAAAAACCACACGTCCATCTTGTTCGATAACCGCTGACCAATCATTGCTTTTATCCCATCGAACCTAAAGCGCATGTAAAGATGACAAGTATCGTGAATGAGGTCTATTCCCTGCAACCATGTAAGCGGTATTATTAGACCCCTTGACAGTCATAACCTCTTTATAGTCAGAGTATCATTATGTGGTTACTTTATTACGAAGACAACAGCCCCCTTCCTTTTTAAAATGTGGAGATGATAAATTGTTTTCCCCTACCCTTCCATGGAATTGAAATCTTCTCAATGCTAAGCAGTGCGCGCGCATGAACCAGCATCATTTTGGTGAAAAAAGGCGATAGTCGTTGATATTCTACTACGTCAAACCCTGCTTTACGGACACCCGCTCAATGCGGACACCTCATTATTACGGACAGTTTTCTTTGTCCCTGGGGAAAGGAAGCCCTTACATTTTCTCTAAATTCAACCCCCTTTATAACCAACCCCCGTTAATACGGTCTATGGTCCCTTCTGTGTCCTTATTAATCTAGTTTCACTGTACGGGTTTCCAGAGAATGTTGTAGTGGCAGAAACATTTTATCATAAGAAGTTATATCATTTTGCTCAACCTCTTTCAATTATAATACGGAAGTTGATTTTTCTGATGAAAAATGACTTAAAAATTAAACGTTCTGAAATGAATACGTGATAAAAACTTTAAGTCAAATCCAGTAGAGAAATCGTTTTACACCTTGTTCTCTAAACTGTCACAACTATGGGTTTAACCTTCCTGTTTTGTATTTTGTGTTACTTTAACTCTTCATCTATCATGTCCTTAAGGCAGATGTACGATCTCCTCAAAACCTAGAAAGTTATTTTTATCCCTTTTTTTGGCAGGAACTAGTCATAAGTTATTTCAAACAGCCATGGAGGTTCAACAAGAACTTTACTGTATTCTTCAGTTTGGCACTGCACTATAGGATAAAAGGTAATCAAATAATTAAAATCAAGTAATCAAAATCTGGGCAAGCCTTTTTTCTCGTTAACCCTAAAATAATGCTTTATTTGGCGTTTTCGTTTACGTATCAACTTTCTAAGTAAAAGGCAAAACTGGCAAAATTTTGGTTGAAATACCATGAGAAAGAGATAATTTCAAAAGATATCAGGATCTTCTGGGTAGGGTGGACTGAAGTCAGTTATTTATAGTGTCTTGTTACCTGCTATTCCTTTCTGACTACAATTATTTTAGCTGCTTATATGGCTCCTCCCAAAAACCATGAAACATTGCATTGTTGTGTAGCGTTCATGTGTACTGGACTATATATGTAGCACACTGATATGGTTATTTTTTCCGTTACTGAAACTTGGCTTACCTACAAAAATGTCGCCACATTTTCTCCTAGATTCAAAACCCAAGTTTGCTGTCGTAACAACTACCAACGTCTCATTAACGGCTGGAGTGAATGGAGTATCAGGATTGGCATATCATCGTCTTAATCATGATATATTGGTTTGTTTATCAAGATCTTACCAAGCCATTTAAATTTATAGAAAACCTTCAAGCACGTGATTTATGTGAGCAGGATAAGTCATTGAACTTGCATTGTGTCTTTAAACCACTCCCGCTCCACTCTCCAGCTAGTGACCAATAAATTCTGACTTTAAGGTAGTGGTTGTGGGGAGATAAATCACAAGAGAAATCACTGCTTAAGGACGGCGAGGAGATCCGGGGTTCAATGTCTAGATATGGCTATCTCAAATCCTTGTTTTTGACTTCTTTCATTCTGCGTGTACCCACAAAAAAAGCTGACAAAGACGGGCGAATTATAGTAAGCAAACCATCAGCTTCAAGGTTTTTAGTCAGATGATGGTTATTTAGAGCTACCAACATACAGAAAGGAGGACCTTGAACCGGGCTTATCACTCATTGAATGATTCTGTGTTAGCGACGACCCTTTGTATTTTTATGTGATCATTAATCAGTTTCAACTCATGAATGCGGGTAGTGTAGCAAGGAGTTTGTGCGGATGCTGCAATGTGTAAGTGTGTCACTCCTTCTAAGGCGTAGACACCTCATAATTAGTCATTGGGTCTGATATGAAAACAACAATAATTGTGGTAGCTGGTTCTTATGTCTATTCAAAAGCATGCGTTTAAAAAACTTTGTTCTGGTAATCACGTTTATTTTGTGACAAAATTGCACGTGTTGGCAAGCGCATAGGGTGGCATTTTTCTTGGCCGACAAAACTGGAATCGGCAACCACAGACAAAGTGACAATTTTATCTTTCGCCTATCAATGACGACTGACAATCTTTTTACCCACATTTAGCACTCAAATGTCATAACAACGTTGCCAGAATTCCAGTTGCTTAAAGTTATGAAAATTTTTAATTTATGGTCGAACATTTTTCATTTTCTCACCATAACTAACAGAGTACATCAAAACCTATAATCATGTACAACACTGAAGACGATTAAAAAAATATTCATTACTACTAATACAACTAAGAAAAATGCGAAATAAGTACAAACAGATGGTAATAGCAAAGACATTGTTGTACCCAAACCCGTTCTTCAAAACACTTTACGTGTTCAGTGACATGATATTTAGAAGGTCATATTGCAAATGCAAATACCTTTGGTTGCAGTTACACAAGGAGTGTTTTGCTGTGTTTAGGCCCTAGCAAAAGTTTACTTTACAATACCCGGACTATTTCTATTAACGTACCCATGAGTTGTTCACAGTTTACTTTGATTCAGCAATCCTAGTGATCACAATGAGCATGCAAGGCATCCTTAACTCTGCTCTGTGTTTATATTTTCACTAATGTTTTAGAACTATCCATCAAATAGTTACTTTACGGTTGAAGATATTACCAGTTGGATTGATGCGAATAGATATGAGGTATTGTGTTGTTCACTGATATCTAATAAATAACTTGATTGCACAGTATAATGGTTTTTCGAAAAAGTAAATGTTTTACTGAAACACATCCTCAAAAACCTGATCATCTTGAACTAGGGCTGAGTATTTCTGAAACACATTCTCAGAAACCCAGATCATCTTGAAGTGGAGCAGAGTATTTGTGAACGAAATCATTACAAAGTGTTGAACAAGGGAACCCATGTGCTCTTGACTATACGAAACTAATTCGAAAAGCTTTTGTATTATCAAATTGCGTCTATAACTTTGACTCCTCCTCATTGTTCTCTGAATCATTCAAACATGTCCACTTTGCCACCTCAATTCGAATGGTTAACAGTCGAACGGACTTCAGGCTGTGCTCTAAGGAAAATGGAAGTGAGCCTGGTGCTCTGAAAATGTGAAATCTATGACGTCCAGCATAGGATTTTTTGTATGAAAAAGTAAGATTTCTTGGTCGCCCAAGAGCAAAAGTAAGGACCCCGGCCAGGTGCCAGTGGGTGCATCTCTGGTTACTGGTAATTCTAAAAGTTGTTAAATGAGCTAGGGGCTCTTCCTTGTTCTGGTAAACTGTGCGTGCAATGTGTGCAACATGTACACTGCAATCTACTTGTACGTTTTCTTCACATCTTATAACATTCTTCCTGGAATTGTGTGAATGCAGATTCAATCAAAACACAAGAAACGAAATAAAATACACTTACCTGTGCTGTATTTTGACTTACAATGAGGTTAAGACAGGGTGAAAAACCAGCCCACGTCGCTTCAAGATGAATACAGTACAGTTAACTGTATTTTATTTCATCTCTTCACAATAAGCTACAATATTATTTTTTTAATTAGAGCTGTTCCCATATGAACTCCATAAATCGCTTCCTTACGCAATATTGCCAGTTGGGTGAATTTTTAACAAGTACGCACATAGTGAGCTGGTTTCAGTGGTTGGTACTTTTGAATAACAGATATAGCTTGTTTGTAAACAGATATCTTCCCTATACAACATCTGTCATTCGGTTTTCCTCTTTTCAAGAAGTACTCTTTCTGGTATTTAAAGAAACTTGCTCTCACTTCAACACTGGCATTTTGTTCTCACCTGTCAAGGGATCACAGTATGAGTTCAATTCGATCTTCGGGAAACCTCATCCCTCATCAAGAACAGTTGAAAGTCAACTGACTTAGAAACATTTCCTGTTAAGTGCAGTACATAAACTGTTAAGGTGAAACGTTGAACTTTCCTCTTAGAATTGGACAACATTGTCTGCCCTTATTCAGTTAACACAGTCAAACACGGATATGGGTGTAACTCTTACGTATAATACGACAACAGTTAGTGTAAATCATAGTTCCCTCTTCGCAGCTCGTTACAATGCTTGAGGTTTATCCAACCACCCGTAAGGGAATACGTATATACCTGGTGACAAGGGTGTTCGCTGACTGGAGGTTAAAACGATCGTTGTTTCTTTTTAAGCTTGTTGTGCAGCTGGCGCCGAGTTCTGACAGAAAAGAACATTTTGTACACCGCCTGAGTAAGGGACCAGCTCTTTTGCTGTTTTTGCCAATGAAGCTGCACATGTGTCGTGTGACGCAGAACATTCTAGAGACTGTAAGTTGTAGCTGTAATATACCTTACAAGGTTTAGGAGACCAGTTTTAATGGGTTTTTTTAATCACTTTCTAAATTTTTGACAAACAGAAAGAGACGTGATTTCCAGTCTATTTAAAGGGAAAATGTAGAAGATACAAACTTTTTTTGGTATTGGTATTTTTACCGCTGTTAGCTGTATTAGTATTTTGGAATGTTCTTCAACACAATATTGCTATTAATGATACTGTCTTCATTACTTGGGGGGAGCACAAAGTAAAGGATTCGCGACGCTCAGAAATGTCCTCAAAGCTGCTTTTTTGGGACAAGTCCTCTTTTCTGTTTGAGTCAGCTATTTCGCGAAGTGAGAGCGGAATTACCTCGAGATATTTCGAGATCAGTTCGAGTTCTTTGAATTATTCCTTAATTTATTGGAGGAAGAAAAAATTATTATTTTTGGCTTGCCCGGGGTTTGAATCGATTTACCTGTGACCGGTCAGATCAGATGTGACTCTTAGCTGAGCGATTAGCCGATTGCTCCACCTCGACCCAATGTATTTTGTAATGTGAACAAATGGCTTTAACAATTTTGCACTAGTTTCGGGACAAGATTGGAAATGCAAGTTCGTGAAACTTGCGTGACGTTTCGGCTTGTTTCAGCTATTTGACGAAGTGAGACGGGAATAAGACGCTAAGGGAGCGTTATGCCACGTTATAACCTTTGCTTTTAATATACTCCGTGTTGGCTCTAGTTTGCTCCAAAGGTTCAGCCATGGGTTTCTTCTGTTTTCCTCGCTCTAGAGCACAATCATGACCATGCCAGAAACAGCCGTGAAACTGGTAGACTGTTTTCGTCTCAGTGTGAAATGTTTGTTGTTGATGGTAACGGTGGAAAATGATAGAAGGGCCTCCAGTGTTGTTATCTTTAATGAGGTGATACAAGTCACTATTAGCTTGATCAAAGAGACTGAAGTACGTTTGCGGCGATAGGTACACAAATAAATGCTTTAAGGTGAGGCCAGGAACAGAAATACCATCTTTAAACATGTCAATCTTCTTGCTTGCCAAAACTGACTCATTTTTTCTACTACTTCTAAGAAAGGTACTGCATCCAGATCATTGTATCAGACCAAGAAATCTTTAAAGGTGGACATTTCATTTCCATACTTACCAAGAAATCTTTAAAGGTGGACATTTCATTGCCATACTTCTTAACAATACTCGTTTTCTTCGTCAGCGATGTTTTGGTTCTTGAGAGTAGAGTAGAAGGCAGCGTGAGGGGTTAAGGACGTTTCTTCTTACTATGCAGTTCGTCTAACCGGACCGGAAAAATCCTTTGGTCTGTTCGCACTCGTACGCTTAAAGGAACTGATCATAGATGCACCCGGGAGTGAGACAGGTAGAGATCTAGAAGAGCTTCAGGAAGTCTGTCTTCAGGCACATGTGATTGTTGTTTCTGTTGACAGTAAACTCGATATGATGATGTTCTATCATGTAAGGGAACATGAATTCTTAGGTAGCATTCAGATTGTACTTCCAGGAATTGAACTCGAAGACGGGCAGTTCTTGTATATATGCGTTCAGTTTTTCTTCTTATTGAATAAGGACTTTGTGGTCACTGGTTTGTTCTTGTCCAAATAACATGTCTTCATACATTGCCAGTTCTTGTCGCTGTTGTCTTGTGTCTCTGTCAAGTTCTACATGGAATCTTCTATAAAAGGAGACATCTTCCTGTTCTTCTCTTTCATCGTCGAGAAACGCGCCGTCTCGTTCTCCGATTCAATCTCCTCTTCATCGTCTTCATTATCACTCGCCATTAAGTCAATGTCTCTAGTATCATCTTCGAATTCTCCTTCTTCACTTTCAGTTTGCTGACCTCCTTGAATACCTACGAGAATTTGCGCCAATTGGTGAGATTCACTGTTATTCAGAGTTCTTGCGGTTTTAAGAGCTTCAAATACTTCTGTGTATTGTTGACGCAGCAGAGATGAACTTTTTGTGCTTATAGAAATTAAGTACTGAATAAATTCTGTAATTAATCCTTTTGGATCGCCATCAGTCACAAAACATTTAGGCGATTGGTAGCCAGGCACGTTACTACAGGCATTAACACTACTCTCCACATGGCTAGATTCCCAGGTTAATTTGTCTGTGTTTTCAGTTCTTGCACTTTTTCTTTATCGAAGTAGCGCTCAAAATCAAATGTGGCTCTGTAGGGAAAATGGCGTGCTCGTTCCCGGGACGATAATACTCTCCTCCTCTAGTTCTTCAACCACAGTCTTTGGGACATGGTACGCCGCCCTGAATACTTGAGCTGCACTTTGCCGTCACAGGTCTAGCCCCTTCTCGTCTTGTCTTAAACTTGACGCACGTTTCCAGTATTTACCACAACGAGAACAATAAAAGGATTTAGAGTGCCGGGCGAGATCCTTGATACGCGATAAATGGTTCTCCTAGAGGTTCAAGTAGAGCGAGCTGGTGTAGTGGTGGTGTGTGCGACAGAGGAGTGTGGCGGCAATCTCGGGTATATTTTCTTCGTTGTCGTCCCCGTGGCTGTCACTTCGTTTAATTTTCCATTTCTTCCACTTCACTGCTGGTTGTTGTACTGTGTCTCTCTTTAGGTTCTTAGTATGGCAGCCATTATGCAAAGCCAGACAGCGAAAGAAACAGAGATTGTCTTCACAAGGCTTGCCAGTACTACGGTTTCGATGATTCTCAGCTATGTATGTGGGAAAAAATGCCTCTTGGCCAATTAGATGATCCCTGATCTTCCACACAAACCAAGTAACATTTTTAAACCAGATCATTACCTATTTTGTATTTGGTCTCTGTTGTCGAACTCACTCTAAGAAATCGATACAAGTGCTCTAAATCTTTGTGATTGGAGATCAGAAACGGTTGTTCCAACACCAAATTGTCGACGAACGGCTTTAAATGACAAATGGATTCATTTGCAACATACACATATAGCTGTCATAAAAAAAGTCTTGCGGGTAAATGCGACACCTATACGGGTATGTTGCAATTAAATCCACCCGACCATTGAATGAAGAAGGAATGAATGAGTACGGGACTCACAAACACGCACAGGAAAAATTCGAGCTATTTACATGCTAAGCAACGTGCACTATGGCTCTACGTCTCCTTTTTTCACCCATTTCAACTAGCCCTTAACAATACCTATATTGTGGCACTCATGTGCCTGACACAAAAAAATCCTCACATACGAGTGGTACAGCGACGTTTAAGTGTACACTCCGATAGCGTCTTGTTCAGTGTTGGTTATTAGGGACCGTTCATTTTTTATGAGAGAGGGGGGGCTGGTGGGATTTGGGAGGGGGGGGGCACTCGAAAAAAATTAGCTTGAAAGGGGGGGCCAGCCGAAAAAAAATGAAGGAAAGGAGGGGGGCTCGGACGAAAAAATTAGATTAAAAATAGGATAAGAGATGTTTACAAATCGAAGAAAAATTGTGCTCTTTTATTTATAACAAATATGCTAAAACAGTTCCAGGGTAACAAGAAAACTTCTCAACAGCTTTTATATTTTATAAGGACAGTGAACATACCATAATAACAGTCTTGAATAGCAACAACTTTCTTTTCATTCATAAAAATGTTGTTGTCAAGCTCATATAATTAAAACCAATAATTTGAGTCCTGAATTGGAACTGACCTCGTTACCAGAGCTTTTCTCTGAGAAATTTAATGGGAGGGGCATGAAACTACTACGAGGTGTCCCCTTCCTCATTTTCGACGTTCTCTTCGATCTCGTCGTCGCTGTGTTCCTCTTCTTCTTCCTCCTGTTCTTCTTCGTTGTCTTCCTCTTCTTCCTCTTCTTCGTCGTTTTCTTCTTCCTCTTTGTTCGTGTCTCCGACGTTTGAGCTATAATCTTCAGGATGCAGGAAGCAATACATCCTGTTTCTTACTTCTGGCTTAAGGTTGGTAATAAGCCTGCTTTGTGCCCCGTTGCTGAAGTAGCTTGATTGCAGTAGGTGAGCGATGAATGCTGCATTCCGTGATAGCAACAATGCTGCTACATCTTCAACGTTTATGCACGCTTCCGGAATGGGGGGGGGGGGGGGTTCCAAAAAAATTAATTTAAGAGGGGGGGGGGGCAATGGAAAAAAAAAAGGCCAATGGGGGAGGGGGTCATACAATTTTCAAATTACACTCCTCCAAATCCCACCAGCCCCCCCTACCCCATAAAAATTGAACGGTCCCTTAACTTTCTCTGTGGAGACAATTTTGCCATGTATAATGCACTAAATTTTGTTGTCCAACGTAAACCAATGTAGCAGTCCCTGAGTTAAAAAAAGATCAAGAACATGATCGGTGACCGGTCTGCGTCTCAGCTTTGACATTTCCTTGGCATCATTCGTGCAGCAAAATCGTGTCAAACAAACATGGCATTTCTGCGATCCCTAAAATAAAGGTGGCTATACTTTACTTTATTGAATTTATTGCATATTATCAGTTAATGTGTACATAAAACTATAAAATACGCTAGACGAAGAAACAAAGGACAGTAAAATAAACTAAAATAAATAGATGTTGTCACTGGAGCAGGAGACAGGACAATGTTCCGGTTGGTAGCTTTCCCCAAGAACCAAATGGAATGCCACAAATAACAGAATGCCTCCCCCCAACCTTAACCGCCTTTGCCCCCTCTCCCCATTAAAAGACACATAAGTAACATCCTATACTCCACTGGCTGGGAGGACATAAGATAGAGTATTGCGAGTGTAAATATCTAAAATGCTTTTCTGAAAACTAGAAAGCACTGACTCGTACTTTTGATGTCTACGGGTAGCTTGTTCCAAGTAGCTATCGATCTATAATAAAACAACACGCTATGGGAGCGTACACTTCTGCGTCATGGTTGTGAGATTAATTGTGAATACGGAAGAATAGTAAGAAAGCATATTTTCCGGATACTAACACCTAAAAACTAATCCTCGCACGCCGACTATTCGGCGTTCTGCAAATATACCCGTGGCAAAACATTAACTTGCCGTCCGCCCAAATTAAAAAAAAATAAATCCTCGAAGTGATCTCGAGATATTTCGAACTGATTGCGGTGTCACTACGTCAACTACCCGAAACAAGCCGAAAAGTCACCAACTTGCGTGGCCAATCTTATCCCGTACCTAGTGCATAACTTATAGCTATTTTTCACCTCTCAAATTACTTGGGTAGCAGTGGCGCAGTCGGTTAATCCCTCAACTTACGGTCTCGTCTAATCTGACGGGTCACAAGCCGGTTCAAACCCTGGGCAAGCCAAAAAAATAATTCTTTCTTCCACGAAAGTGAAGAATAAATCAAAGAACTCGAAGTGAGCTCGAGATATCCCGCAGTAATTCGGCTCTCACTTTGTCGAATAGCTGATTCAGACCGAAGACCCACGGACAAGGGTCAAAGGGTTAAGTTTGAGTAACCGATCCTTGTAAGACATGTCTTTCGGAAAATTCAAAAAACTTCGAAGCTCTGCGCGGAACATTTTCTGGCAAACGTTTGTCTTTACACGTGTAAGGGGACCAAAGTTCACTAGCGTATTGTAATTTTGGCTCTACTGGATTTTTTAGGGAATATACCTCCCCACTCTTTGAGCGTTTACTACATCGGCATTAAAAAAGGTATCGGAAAAAGGTTAGCGTAGCTGTACCATGCTAAGATGAAAATTTGTCATGATCCCTGTTTTATTGACATTGGAGTTGCCATGGCAAAAAAAATGACGCCAGACCTTTTTTACTGGCCCTGGATTTCTCGGTACCAGAAGTTTTTTTTTAGAAATCGCTCAAGGGAGCTTGTACCTCCCTTAGTTGCCTCAATTATGATTCTATGAGAGCGTTTTGGAAATCTTTTGAAAAGCAAGTTTTGGGGGTCATACAGACAGAAAATAAACATAATTGGCTAATATCTAAGGAAAATTATAAGGTCTGGAAATGCAGTTTCATGCTAAGTTTTGCTAAGTGTGTTTAGGATCACCTGAATTCATCCGACGCAGACAGCTTCAGATCGTCTCGCTTATTGTTACCTATGACACGAAAAGGAATTTTAGTGGAGAATTTTTGAGCTAGTGGGCTGTGATGAAGTGGGGTGAGGGAGCTCTTCCTTTTGCACTGAATAAAGCGACCGACTTAAAGGAGCTGTGCCACGAAATCTATCAAGATTCAAATAGTGGAAACCGCCACCAGTGAAAAACAAAAATAACAGCTCAAAACAGGAAATGAAGGTATAAATGACACAGCTAATACCGAAGTAGGCACGGTTGGACAAACTTCAAGAAGATTACATTTAAGGTTTTTGAAAACTTGTTGGCCTAACAGTTTTTCAAAGTTCATTTTTTTTTGTCTTCAACTTTTTACATAATGCTTAGGGGGGAATTTGCTTGACATAAAGCAGTGATTTGGTCATTTCAATTAATTTCTTTGCTTATGCTAAGTTGCGTTGAGAGTAAAGACGTGTAATTGGCAATATTTAAACAAAAGGAACTAGTTAGCCATGACGCAGCCCTTTAAAAGGACTCTGCTCTCCATCCATTAAGCGTAAGCGTAGTTCTTACTTAGAATTCACGTTATATGTTTGGTAATTCCCCTTTTGCTTACTTATATTTTTTTTGTTTGGTTTTGTCTTCATTTCAGTATATTTACGCAGCGTCTCAATATTATAGATGTCCACATAATGCAACGTCAAAAGGAGTAAATGCTGTTCCGACTGCAGAGGGCAAAGAAGAGGGAAATTCATCGGAAGTATTAGAGCAAATCAACGTCAAGGGAATCGCCTCCCAATTTACACTACTTTATTCTATAAACCAGCAAAGAGACGTCTTAATTTCACAAAACGGTTTGGTACTAAACAATAGCATTTGCAAGACATTACTAGTTCCAAAGCAATTAAACACGGGAAGCCGGCCAAATACCTGCGATTTGTGCTTTAGTTGTCAGCTTTTAAAATGTCACCTAAACATGGGGCATCCATTAGTTACCTTTCTCAACAGTTATAAGATGATGCCATTGCTCTCCCTCAAAAATTGCTGCAGTTCATTAAGACCTACTGGATACTTTTCATTGGTCTTAACGAGCATTTGTTGTACGTGGAGGTCAGAGGGGTCACGCCAGCGATATTCCTCCGACAAGGAATTCCAAGACATCAATAAACAATTACTGAAGCAAAGGGAAAGTAACTTAGCTGATTTGTTTGGTCTTAGTTCTTACATGTCATACCCGGCAAGTGCTTTACAAAAATCGTTGAATACACGAAAAGGCAGAGAACTCACAACGAAAAAAGTCATCCCAGACTTATCTCAAACTTCAAAGCGTGTCACAAATTTTACAGGAGCAGGGTGTTACAGCAACAGATCAGTCAGATTTTTCATCGTGGATTCTACTGAATATTGGAGAGTCGCAGAGAATCTAGGTGTCCGTAGGTCATACGATCAGGATGGCAGGACAGCCTTGGTGATTGCTGATTTAAAGGTAGTCTTACTTGGGAGACGTGATTGATTTAAAACCATTCAAAAAAATGTTTTTGATCTGACTGGATTTTAGAGGCCAGTTTTCGAATATTCATGTATACTATAAAAATTTCACGCGGAAGTTTTGGGGTATGATATGTAGACGCTTCCTGTTGCTCCGGTAATCGGTTGCATCCATAGATGTTGGGCACGTGAGTGTAAACAATCTATTGCTCTGTATCGGCCAACCTTTTGAACTTATTTGCTATTCAGTGGATGAAGTCACGTGCTAAGTTTCAGTTTCAGTTTATTTATTTATTTGCCAGAAAAAAAAAAGTCAATAATAGTTGAAAGTTAAAGGGGACGTAAATTACACAAGTAAAGGAATAACAAAGATTTTTTTCTGGCGAGGAAGCTCAAATTGATAAGACTATAAGAAATACGTGCATCGCTGAACCTCGCGAGGTTCGGGAAGAAGGCCCATAAAATGTCAGGGATGGAACGGTGGGAGAGAATTGAAGTAAATTGTGTAGCTAGGGAGGGCGAATTTCGACACTGGCTGTAATATTGGAAGGTGAGATGTAGATAATCTCCCTTTTTTTTGGAGTAATGTGAACCCAGTTCTCTGGCCATAAAAAGGATTTTCTGGGATTGAAATGGGTTGGTGTTGGTGTTGGCGTTGGTGTTGTGGAAGGGTACCCCATTTGAACCTCCTTCATGTCTTAGCATAGTCAATAGGAAATAGCTGTGATAGTGAATAACTGCAGGCGAATATGCAGTTGCATTTGTTTAATAAAAGCTAACCCATTCTATCTTTAATAATAATTTTAATGATAATTGCTTGTGAAGTGTTTCAGTGGTAGTGAGTGGATGAAATGGTAGGAGATAATGCTGCTGTGAACTAAACTAAAGCGATGAGAGTGTTTGCACTTGTTATAGTACATAATCACACTTGACAGCTAATTGTTTGTAACAGTAAGGTGCAAACATAATCACTAAAATAGAAATTTCATGTAGTAATGTCATCAAGGATGTAGTTGAGGAGAATTATGAAAGTGATCTTGACTCATGATTATTGAATATGCGGTACTTTCATTAGCACTGAATCCCTGTAAACATATCAAATCATTTATGAAAGTGTTCATGGTTCTTCGTATACGTGCATGAGAAACAAATACCCATGCAAGAGTGAATTTGTATGAAGTGTCCATATACAAGTCATGTTGAAGGTGATCAGTTTCTCAATTCTCAACATGCATGCGCTTGTTGAGACATGGTTGCCAGAGGCATAGTTTTGGAAATTCCCAGACTGACGGTCAAATGTACATTTATGTACACTTTCCTTGACCAAGTGAATTGATGAACTGACAATTTGTCCAGATAATGGCTTCCAAATTCCGGTCAAAACTTTGTGTACTGGGGACAGATGACGTAAAACAAAAGACTTCTTTGTTTTCTGTTCAGGGAAAAATTTCCTTGGTATTGTTTCATGGTTTTTGTTGTTTTGTTTTACATAGTCTGCGTGAGAATAAATGAGCGGCGAAATCATGTTGAAATACTGTATAAGTTTGGATAAAAAGCAAGCAAATCAAAACACTTAACGGACAAACAGCAGCAAAAAAAATATATATATTAACACGTACATGGAGAGAATTAGCTAGGAACAAGTGATGGTAGTAGCACTTCGTATATTACGCCGGATTTAGTGAACTGAAAAGGACTCTCAAGTCTAATACCCAAAAGTCCTGTCCTTTCTTCGTTTTAAGAGATTGGAAAATACTTCGAGCGATTGTTGGTCAAAAGCATCCAGGAAAAATACGACCTTGGACGTAAACTTTTCTATTGAGAATGTGTATTTCGTCAAAGACAATTTCTGAGATCAGTTTCAAGAAAAGGCATCAATCTACCTGAAAGAGCCGCCCTTACCTTGAAATTGATGGTTAGAATGTAAGCTTGTTGTAGCAAGAGCCTGTTTTAGTGTGCCTATCTCTGCTTTGTTCATGCAGTTTAGAAATCCAAATTCAGCTTTGAACGAGAAGACCAAATGGGGACACGATTAATTAGGACTATTTTCTAGCAGCATCTGGCATGCCTCTGGCGCCTTACTTTTGCTCTTAGGTGACTTGGAAATCTTCCTTCATAATAGTCATATGCTGGGCACCCTGGATGACCACCCTTCAATTTTTCGTGGAACACAGGTTTAAAATCCACTGAGACCGCCCTCTATATCTTCCTTCAGGTTGACCGGACTACTGCAACAACAACTTTTTTTAACTGCTCATTGAGCAACTACAACGGGTGCAGAATGCTTGTGCAAGACCTTCCGTGCTTATTGGTTAATTAAGAATGTACTTTAAACATTCTTCATAATTTAGCTCCATCATCCCTTTTTTTCTCTGAAGCCTCCATCTCCGTTATAATGAATGATAAACTTTTACTTTGTCATCCAAAGCTTGCTGATAGGCCCTTTACGTTTGTATCATTTTTACCTACAAACCTAGTCAATGCGTTTGGGACACTTATCTTTCATACATAAAAAATTGCATTTCCTGTTAAATACTTAATTATTGTCTCCCTTATGGGGCTTTGCAGGAATAATGAAACAAATAATTCAAAATAAAACATAACAAACTTAAGAATCCCAACTCGTAGAAAGCGAACCAGTTGGATATTTTACAGGCGTCGCCAAGGATTTGAACTCGGGACCTGGAAACATATCCAGCGAGCGGTCAGGGCGGGACTTGAGCTCAGGGGCTCCAGATTACAAGTCCAGCGCTCTAACCGCTCAACCACGCTACTTCCTTGCACAGATTATGGACGTCAACTTTATTCTGGGGGCGGAGGGGGGACCTCAGGAGAAAGCTTGGTATGGCGGTGTTTATGTGTGTGAATTATCTGTTAGTTGCAAAATCATCTGTTATTGTACAAAACCATGAGAGAAAGACCGCATTCCAGAACCTTTTTGATAGTATTGTAGGTTAACTTTATTTTTATCTTTATCTTATTGATTTTATTATTATTATTTTTTGGTTAGTAATTATTTGGTCATTGTTATTTGCATTTGAACAGTTTCCTTGTTCTTATTTTGGTTGTTCTTGTTGCGACATCCTCACTTAATCATGTTTTTTAGAATGATGCCCATTTTGTCTTGGACGAGGATGTAAGAATCAGTAACTCCTCAATTAGTGAGTATGATGTATCCCGAGCAAAGATATTTTACGCTTTATTTCTTTTTAAACGACAACAATGTCAACAATAATGATGATAATAAATCTCAGTACCTTAGAACGAACACAGCCATCCATTTCAATGTGTGGAGGATATTGCCATGTGTGATACTCCTTGGCACTTGGAAACATGTCTAGTAACGGTGCCAACAAATTCAGTACCGCTGAGCGTTTACGCTTTGCTTTTAAAATACGAAAACTTCTCTCGTGGGGTTCACTGATAAATCGTTTATGGACTAACAGACATTCCTTTTCGAATTCCAGTTGATTTCGTTATGGCCTATATGAATGGCAATCTGACAAGACGCCTCATATCTGGTGGTGGAAGCTCCCCAGAGTGTGCACCACTGCGGAGTGGCAAAGCTTGTGTAAAAGAGGTTGTGACGTCAAATTTTAGAGATATAGTGCTAGATGACACAAAAGTACGTAAAGTTGGTTTTGATTCATGTATATCCCAGTTCTTATAATCGTCATTTGCCCATTCATATGAAATGAAAAGGGGAATGAAGCCTTATTTACTTTTTTGGTTACACGTTTTTAAGTTGCTCATTAACAGCTTGCTCGGACGTCAGTTTTGTTTAAGGAAGTTAAACTCAAAAGTGTTTTTTCAAGGCCTGTGGCGAAATACGTCCAAGATTCTCTTCACTCTGAAACTGATGCCATGCCAGTAAATGGATAATAAAGACTTCAGTCAGTGCCACCCTTATTATGTTCTTCCAATTTCTTTTTTTACCTTTTAACGTTGTCTTTACCGCTGGGGTAAACAGTCTTACCCGCTTGAAAAACCTGGTAACAACTTGTTTTTTCCTTCACAAAGGGAACCTTTGCACACATATTTGTGTGATAGATTTTAACAGCAAATGTCGCTGTAAGATTTAATTGTAGCATGGGATTTAATTTGTTTTCTGACAGGATGTTTTGTTGCTGTATTATGCTCCGTGGTGTGCTTACTGTCAATCTCTTGAGCCCATTCTACTTACTGTGTTGAAATTCTTTCAAGACTGCAATGATGTTATTATTGCAAGGTGAGCGGAACTTTATCGAATGTAACTTCCTAACCTACTTGCTTTTTGCGTGACGTTAATTCCACTAACTTTACCAAAGAGATCTGCTTCTTGAAGCTGTTAACTCAAAATATATTTGCGCGTTTTAAGTTTTTTTAGGATAACGGCCACCTACTCCAAACTTGACTTGAAATTGTAGCATCGGAAGTATTTGTATTTGTTCCTACCTGCTCTCTAATCACCGTCTAATTGGCCGTTCAGTTTGCGTTCGAGAGTTAGACCAAGAAGTAGCAATAACCGTCACAGTTCAAGAGCAAAATGTTTCTGGTCCCAGGAAATAAGACAAACATCACATTCGCGTCATAAATTGTTTTGTGGCACCTGTTTTTGTAATCTTCCCAAAGACATTACCATGTTCAAGTGTATTCATTTGTTAGAGCAAGAGAACATAAATGGCTCAGAGTTAATTTTCCATAGAAGCCCTATTACCATCGTAATCCTTTTACAATATATCTTGAATAGTATTCGTTAAGCCACCGAGGTCTAGATTTTCTCTTTTAGCACATTCCAAAATATTCACATAATCACCCGAGAGTGAGATGAGCGCCTTTGTTATTCTTTGACTGCGAGGTTGGAGCCAGCTTACCGCTCAGAATAGATCTGGGATGACGATGAAACCAAAAGAAGGCCGATGTTACAAGTCTACTATGTTGCAACATTCATAGGTTCTTCCTTGCATATTAATTAATTGCCTTTCGTCTGTCTTCTGCGTACTAATTTGGTATAGGTAAACTGCGTAAGTGGTTATTCATTTCTTTTAAAATGTTAATTTAGTGCCTAATCAATGTCTAGGTAAAATCGCGTTTCTCCATATCTACAGTTAATAAGTGGATAGCCGTTTATAAGTTAATAACTGTAGTTTTTAATAGAAACGAACGCTTTGCCTAGGCTTGCCTGGTCTCTTCTAACCCTGATTGGCTCATGTAAAATCTATTACCTGTTCAAGATAAGAACGGGTATTTTTTTAACGCGCTATCTCTACAGAGTGTAACTGAAAAATCTTAAAATTATCCTGACCAAACATGGGATGTATACAAAACTCAGACACAGAGGTTAAATGAAAGATCTCTATTTCAATGTTGATTGGCTATTACAAAACCGTCTTCTCTCTCGATGAAATGACTATATCTTGTTTCACGCTCCGTTAACCAGTAGGAGGGACCGAATTAACCCCTTTTTTGCGCTGGAATCTCATGAACTTGGGGGGGAATAAATTAACGCCGATGACGTTATAACCTTTTGTTTTTATCTCATGAATAAAATACACAGAAATCTCATTGAGATAAGGCTCTGTGTTATTTTTAGTTGGTTGAACCGGTTTTCCAGTTTTTTTTTTAGTTATTTTTAGACGGATGATGTCATAGTTTATTTTAATTATGTGTGTCATATCCTTCTGTGGGTATCATGTCATTGTCAGTTTTTAATTGTTTGCCTCAATATCCTTATTTGGATATGTCAATGTCCAAGTTTATGTTTTGATTGGTGGACGTCTTTCAAGAAGCAATTTGGTTGGCTGCCGGATCAAAGCTGTTTGCAACACGAAATTTATCGTTAAATTAACAAGAAAAGACAGCCAAAAACGCCCAATTCGCCATTTTTAGTGCTCTGTTTTTACTGTACGTGGGCGCCGTTTAAAGCTGTCCGAGTCGTATTAACCGAAAGTTAGAAGAGACCGGGCAAGCATAGTCAAAGGTTTTGTTTCTATTGAAAAGTGCAGTTATTAACTTATAAGCGGCTATCCACTTGTCAGGGTGAATTCGTATAACCCGTTTCTTATATGCTAATGAGGTGCACAATACTGTGATAAGTAGAAATACGTGTATCGCAGAACCTCGTGGAGCTCGGGGAAGGAGGCCCGTAAAATGTTAGGGATGTGAGGGAGGGAGAGAAATAGAGAATATTGCGTAACTGGGGAGGGCGGGTTTTAATAGCGGATGTAATATATTTAAAGCAGAGATATACTCAATCTCCTGTCTGTTTTGGTTGGAGTAAACATAAACCGAGTGCCCTGGATTTTAAAAGGATATGGCATTTAAATGGGATTGCTATTATTAAGACAGTGAAGCCAAAGTTGTGTTGTTCTTGTGTTCACCGTATTTGACCAACCTTCACGTGTGTTTATTGACAAAAGGAAATGAGTGTGACAGTAATATGTGGTGACATTTGCTTAATAGCAGTTAACTTGTGCCATCTCGTATAAAAAATATTGTAATAATTATTTGTGAAGGGTGTTGGTAGTGGTGTATTCTATAGCCCTCAGATTCAGATGTAGTTGTTTTTAATATTGCATGGGTATCAAATGGATGAGTGGATGAAATGCCAGGAGTAATGCTGTAATGAAAACAATAAGTAAACACTGGTTATTGGGGAAAAAGTTATTGTTAGTGTACTACAGCAATGAGAGCTTTTGTACTTCTTTTTGTACGGCAATATTGGTTGTTATTGTAGGGTGGAAACATAATCACTGAAATAGAATTTGCGTCTAGGAATATTAATGTCATTGAGGATGTAGTTTACTGCCATGAGGATTACGAAAGTGATCATGACTTATGATTATTGAGTATGAAGGCCTTTATTAGCAATGAATCTCAGTGAAAAGTACCAAAAGTACGCAAAGTACATACTTATTCATGTACATGCATGAAACACATGTATTACCCATTCTGCCTTCTAGAGTGAATTTGTATGAAATGTCCACATAAAAGTCATGTTGAAGGTGATCGGGGTGATTGATTTCTCAGATCTCAACATATGTGAACTTACTACAACCATAAATTGTGAAATTCCGAGACTCACTGAAATGTACATTTTCTCTGACCAAATGAATTAACAATTTGTCCTGATAATGGCCTCGAACCTCCGACCACAGGCATCACCATGTATGCTAACGTGAGGTGCAGAATGGATTTATTTTACAGGAATCAGCTTGCTGTTTAATGTCCAATTCTTGAAAAAAAATTTCCAATCTAGCGTGTTTTTAATATTAGGAAACAATGAAAGAAATATGGCAACTTTATCACACACTAATTTTCTGAGGAGATCTTAAATGCAGATGTCCTTTTTAAGTAATAGAATCGAAATGGAAGGCAAGCAATAATATATTTTTGTTACGTTTCATTTAAAAGGCATAGTTGTGTTTATGTCTAAGGCTGCTACATATTATATCTTACATGGAATGGTTTTTGGGACGTAAATGTTATGGAAATTGTAAATAAAAATTTTGTTGTGCAGGACTTTGTTCGAAAAAAAAAAGAACGCTTCCCTACAATGTATATATCACACATTATGTTCTAGACTGCTCATATATAGTAGCTTACAGTGAAATTATCATCTCCGATCACTGTGAACCCGTTGTTGCTCTTGGTGTAAATGGCTGATCGGCTGTTTCCATCTCAGTCCGTTTGGAAAGGTATAATATATATATGTTATATGTTTTTGTTAGCTTCTTTGGACCTATAACCGTGCACAACGTTTAATAGCATTCCTATCATTTTGAACTTAGGCCCGATTCAGACGCCGAACTTTTCATGAGCCGAACCAAATTCGAATTAAGGCCGACCCAAATTATTTAGACCAGCGGAATTGATTCAGACGCCGATCTTAATTCCAGCCGGTCAAACTACTTACAAAATACCTTATAATAATTTTTGCATTAGGTTCGAGGCCTACACATATGTTTTCCACCGCTGAGTACAAACTGTACCAAGCCGATATTTGCCTGCTACAAAAAAGATACAGCAACGAAAAAATAACCGTACAAAACGTCTGAAAAATATTTTCTCGTTACCGCAATATGGAAAATCCAATACCGTCTGAGAAATATAATCCGACCTGTCAACCCTTGCAGGTTTTACTTCCAACATCTCCTTGCTCGTACACCCCTTGCATTTCCTTCACTGATATCACTAAGCGAAAGCGACAAGAATTCCAAGATTTGCTAGCTTATCGAGCTGGTCTTTGATACGATTTACAAGAGGCGAAACCACAACAACAACATGGCCAGTAGCATCAGAAATTGAGTCGAAAACAAACGATAAAGCTTGATAAATAGAAGACCTTGCACATCCAGTTAAAAGATTTACAAACACATCAATCTTCTGCTGCAAAAATTAGACCACGGCTTTTGTTTGATAGGGTTTCAACACCCTAATACCAAACGTTTCGGACATCAACACGACACCTAAACTTTTTTAGTTCGCTATCTGGTCCCGGGTAATATTTAAAAAAATAACAAACACGCATTTACCCAAAGTTGGAAAACGGCCTTTGATTGGTCCGTATCTACGAACGGAAGTGGCTCTTCGTTTCAGCAGACTTTGGTGGGACAGGAACGCGTGACGAACCCCCAACGAGGGCTGCGTGGGAGGTTTAGTCTCTCCTCTGTCTCTTGTTGACGGCTTCTTCGCTGGGCAAAGCGATGCTTCTCTGCTGCGAGTTTCTTGCTGTCGTCTATTTTTGCTCACGCTAAATTTCAGTTCGGCATTTTGTTGTTGCTCCAGAGGAGTTCTCCTAGGCAAGGATTTGCATCCACTTTTTGAATCCAGAATTGTTGTTTGCTTTTGCGGGCATTTGCATTGAAGGAATTTGCTCATAATTCACCGATAGTGTTAAAATGTCTCTCACAGACGACGAAATATAACCATATGTAACATGAATGAAACACGATAGCGCACCTTGAACCGGAAATACATGTGCTTCCTGACGTCACACTGGATACGGACACCAACCGGAAATGACCGATATATATATTCAAATATATATGTTCACCCAAGTTCGCACGCTGCTAAGACCACGCGCGGTCAACGCGTTTCGCGCGCGACGAGGATGTAAATCGCTTTCGCGAGGGCGCACCGCGAGGAATTAATGTTCCTATACGTTTACCTATACTAAATTAGTACGCAGGAAGAGACGCGGAAGGCACTTAATAAAATACAGTGGAACTTCGATTTAACGAAGTGCCAAGAGGCTGGGGAAATTTGTTCGTTATATCAAGGGTTCGTTATATCGCACACCCCCACTTAACGAATTTTCGTTACATCTAGGTATAGTTAATAATTAATTTACAAAACCCAGCATTTCCGGATCTGAAAAGTTTCTGTGATAACATTTCAGTACCGAGCTATACACAGCTACGGCGCTAGAAACTCAAGAACAGGCAAACAAAACTGCTTATAACTATTGTGCACATAAATCTCATCTTATGCTGACATTTATTCGTTATTTCGAGGTAAATTTTACGTTTGCGCTTGTGGATTGTGTTGGTTATAACGAGGATTTCGCTAAATCGAGGTTCTTTTCGATACATCTTTACATTCTGTAATTTGGGCCGGGCTGAAGAAAATCGTTTGTTATACCGAGGACTTCGTTATATAGAAGTTCGTTAAATCGAGGTTCCACTGTAAGTATGCAAGAAGGCACGAATGAATGTTACTAAAGAGAAGGCAAACGGAAGGTAAAGGAAGACATCAATAAGTTATATCTTGCAACACAGTAGACTACTGATATTCATTATTGTCACTGCATATTAAAAAAATGAACAGCTCACATTGTTACAGACTCTGAGCTCGAAGACGACTTTGACATTTTGTAAACATTCGCATCTATCTATTCCACGTTTCTTTGTGGCCGGATTTGAGACACGTAGCTGTTCAGGTAGGATTGGTCTTTTTTTCCCTTAAAATAAAAGCGATGAAAATTTTCTCAGCACGATAAACATACGACACATGAATTCTTTCAAGTTCAAAGGCATTTCTTCACCATCCCACAAAATAAATCTAAACTGTTTTCTTTCGCTTTGACTCCGCGTTTTATGTTAAAAGAATTTCGACTGCTCAGTGCAAAATCTTTTTAAAAATACTGTTCTCATTTCGCATTCATTTAGCATTCTTATTATCGACGCGCGAGGTAACATTACCCAGGGATCGATACTGTATGCGGGATTAATTCTCTGAGGTCTTTATTATGTTCTCTTGTCAAGAAACAAAGCCTGCGTTCTCGAATCTGGCCATCAGTAACTGTAACCGTGCACGAAATTTAGGTCTCATTAGGTTCCATTTGTGATATTTTCTCATCAGAATGTACTTTATCGCCTCAGGAGTGATATATTAATTTTTCGGATTGACGCCCCCTCAGATCCAGCGCAACAGTTTTTCTTAGAAACAAACTTATTCTCTCAGAGTTAGTTGTTGTTCTGTTCGCATTATAGGATAAATGCTGATGAAAATGATCTTCCAGGGGAATTTCACGTCTCTCAGTACCCTTCATTTATTCTTTTTCCTGCTCAAAGGTATGATTTCATTTTACTATTTAAGGGAACTACCGTGGAACCTCTACTTCGGGACACTTCCATTCGGGGTATACAAACTTGGGTCCCGTTAATGTCTTCACAAAATCTTTGTCTCTGTTACCTCTATTTAGGGATCACCTCTATTCAGGGTTCTGGGTCCCGACACCCGTTTTTAATCTCCATTTGGGGGAATCTCAGTTCTGAAGACATGACTTTGACAGCCAGTTTTCGCAACTAATATCGATGTACTGCACTTGTAGGAATTCAGCACAGAGAGATAAATTAATCATGATTTTGAATTTATTATCTAGCTGCTTGAATTAATGACTGCGGCAGATTCCGAGGCAGAAAAAAATATTTTCTGTGTTGGTCAATTATTAACATACCCCAGCCCAACCTCTTTAAAGGGGACACCTATCCAGGTTACACTTGTCTCGGTTGCAAGGGTATCTCCTGAATAAAGGTATTTAGAGGTATTTAGAGGCTTTCATGTATTACTGCTATAAACAACACAGCAGATGTTCACCAACACAACTTTATTCTGAACAACATGTCTTCCTTCTCACTTTCCCATCATGCACCATGTCGAGATACCACAGGGATATGGCCTTCTAACACCTTCCCCCCAATAAAATATCCATTTTACGTTCAGTTATAACTATATCTCTGCAGTGTTTTATCTAGGCGTTCTGAACGTGTTCGTTTTACAATAGTCAGTTCTATATTGGTGCATTTAGTTTCCGAAGTCTTTGCGGTCTGTTTTGTGGCTTCACGTGCATGCTCTGGTGGGTAGGAGGTGCTGATTGGTCCTTGGGCTTCTGTTCTTCAGACTTCAGGGATGGTTCCGTTATTTTGACTTGCTTGTCTGGTTTTAGGTGTACACGGTTTCTTCTAATTACTTTTCCTTCTACGTTTACGTCTTATGATCTGTACCCATGACTCTGTGTTACAGTCCCTTTCTTCCACTCTTGTCCTTTGACTAATGTTTCTGGCTTTACTCAAACAATGTCACCAAGCTTTAGCTCATTCAGATCTCTGGCAGATTTGTTATAATAAACGTCAGATTTCTTGGTTTTCCTGGTTTCCCTCTTCTAACACTTTCTCTGCAATTTTCGGTGTAAGTAAAGTTCCTCTGATGGGTATTTCTGTTCTTGTCGACGGTTAAGGAATCTTTGTGCCGAAGATGTTGTCATAACAATGGTGGGTGTGTTGTGCCAGCCAAGTAACGCTTCATACGGATTTAATGCAGTTTTCTGTCTTCCTCAACAATGTCTTTACAATCTTCACACCAGATTCAGAGTTTCCATTACTCTGGCGGTGATGAGGTGAAGATTTGGTGTGTTTGATGTTGTTTCGTTTACAGAACTGTGAGACTTCAACGGAGTCGTAATCGTACCATTGTCTGTGACGATGTCCTCGGGAATTCCCCATCTTGCAAAATTTTTTGCATCAAATTGATGATCTCAGCAGCAGTTTGGTGTCTCATCAGGTCAAATTCAATCCAGTCTTTGTAATAGTCAACCAATACTAGATAGTGTTTTCTCCGTCACTCGAAAATATCAGAACCGACTTTGGACCACGGACTGTTAGGAATTTTATGACTCATCAGTGTTTCTTTTTAGTGCTTGGTTTGGAAAGCGTTGCAGGCTTCTCATGTGGCAATAAACTGCTTTAGTTGGTTGTTCATCTTTGGCCACCATAAGGATGTTCTGGCGAGTCTAAGGGTTGATTCTGTACCCATATGCGCTTGATGTAGTTTGACAGTGAGTGTCTTCCTCAGGGCCACCGGAACTACGATGCGATCGTTCCTGTAAACAATTCCACCACTGACCGACAGTTCGTCCTTGATGCTCCAGTAGGGTAGAATTTCAATAGGGACGTTTCTTTTGTTGTTTGTCCAGCCTTTAGAGATGTGGTGAACTACTGATTGTAATTCGGTGTCATGGGCTGTTACCTCTGCAATTTCAGCTAAACTATTTGTTACGCTTTGATCTTCACGAACCACTCGAGTTGTTTCAATCTCATGTTCAAACTTGCTTCGGTTTTGGCTTGTTGTTTGGGATCTGCTAAGGGCGTCGGCAATGAGAAGATCTTTGCCTTTCACTAACTTAAACTCGAAGTCATATCCCATGATTCTGCAGAGCATTCGCTGGAGTCTTACAGGACTATCTGCTGTTGGTTTCTTCAATACAGCAGCCAGTGGTTTGTGCTCATTGTAAATTGTCACTTTTCGACCATAAGTGTAGTTGTGGAATCTAGTGAGGCCATAGGCAATACTAAGCATCTCTTTCTCAATTTGACTATAGCGTTTTTCAGTTTCAGTTAATGCTCTCGAAGCATACTGTATAGGCTGATTACCTTGCGTGAGGCATACTCCTAACCCACTTGATGATGCGTCAATTAGTATTTCTACTGTCTCGACCGGGTTGAAGTAACTCAGTAATGGTGCGTTTGAGATGAGGGTCTTAATTTCTTCAAAAGCTTTCTGTTCATTTGCTTCTCAGATGAACGCGGTTTCTTTTTTGAGCAATGTTCGTAGCGGTTCTGACTTGGTTGACAAGTCCTTAGAAAATCGTGAGAGGTAAGTTACGACATTAAGTAATCGTCCTGACTTCATCTTTGTTTGATGGAACAGGCATTGATTTAATACAATCTTCTTTCTTGGGGTCGGGTTTAACACCTTTGTTGGTCAGAATCACACCCATGTAGGACAATTCAGTCTTCCTCAGTTGGAACTTGTCTTTGTTAAGTTTAATATTCTTCTTTTTGCATCGTTCTAGCAAAGTTAACAGGCGTTTGTCATGACTGACTGTTGCCTCTTCAATGGTTTCACCATCACCTCAGACCAGGATGTCCTCAGCGATTGTTTTCGCACCTTCTAACCCTTCTAAGTTCTCGTCGATTCTTCTTTGAAATTCTTCGGGAGCTACACTAATGCCGAAAGGCATTCTGTTCCATTCCTTCCTTCCAAGAGGGGTATTAGACGTCGTTAACAGAGAGCTTTCTTTATCTAATGGGATGTGCCAAAAAGCAGACTTGATATCAGCTAAGGAAAATACTTTAGCGTTGCTAACTTCTCTGAGCAGATGATCAACAGTTGGAATTGGGTACTCAGAGCGCTTGAGTGCTGTGTTCAGTGGTCTGCTATCTATCCATAGCCCTATTTCATTCTTAGCAGACGGTTTGTTTAGAACTGCGGGAGCACTCACCCATTCCGTGGACTCAGTCACTTTCTCCAGTATACCTTGTTGTTGGAGGTCTTGCACCTCAGCAAGGAAGTTGTTCTTAACAAACGGGGGGATTTCCCTTAGAGCTATTTTGCGTGGTGTTACATCATCCTTTGTGTAAAAATGCAATGTGCTCTCAAACTTCCCCACACTGTTATCAAATATCTTAGGGTAGTTATTCAGAATGACTTCCATCGATAAAGGTGTTGACACCTCTGTGGCTGGTGGAGGAACACTTTTGGCTTAGCTGGTCCTACAACGGCAATGTTCTCTCGCCAAAGTTCAATGAGTTTTACAATTTCTCAATCATCAAGACCAATGAGGGGTGTCAGGGCCCTGTCAACAATTCTAAACTGAATAATCACTTCTTCCTCGGTAGCAGGATTAAATAGAAGTCTTTTCTGGTTCCCAGTGTCTGTATTTTTGTTTCTTCGTCATACAGAGACAGAACAGGTTTGAATGCAGCGTTGAGATCCTGTAAATCATTATCTTCACTTATATCCTTGTATACATTTACGCGAAGAATACTACATGTTTAGCCAGAGTCTATCTGAAACTTCACAGGAATTCGTTTCTTTGATAGCAACAGGTTTGCAAAGGCTTTCTCCTCACCGTTCTGATTCAGGACACATATTTTGTCCAGAACTTCATAGTAGTGGTCGCCATCTTCTTCTTCTACTTTCAGGACAAACGGTTTTTTCGACGATTTCGAATGTTTTGGATCTGACCGTTTTCCTTGTCTCTCTCTTTCTAACCGCTTACACTCCTTTGAATCTTGGTAGTGATTTTTGATCTTGCATTTCCTGCATACTGCTCCCCAAGCAGGACAGAGTTTTTTGTCTGAGACGCTATGAGCTTCTTGGCACAGTAGTAGAATTAAAGAAGAACAACTTCTGTTCAGCTTTAGTGTGTACTATGAAATAAGATAAAAAACATCAACTGGAATAATTTGAAACCCGGGTCATTTGCTTCATAGCCTACATTCATATCCACTACAACGTCGTGGAGTGGCTGCCAAATCCAGTAATTTTTAAATTTACATGCACTCATGCTGTATCCCATACAATATTTGAAAGCTAACCGTTTTGTTTCAGTGCTTAATCCTAATTACTGTAGATAAGTGTTAAACTTGCGCTTTACTGTTTTGTTTGGTCAGCAATTCTACCGGGTTAGTGGGGTCCTCTTCCAGTATGGTTACGTTAAGAGCGTGATGCGTTGTGTAAACCTCATAAGGCGTCTAATCTGCCTTCACCCGATGATAGCTAATGCTAACCGTCCTTAAATTTCATAAGGACGCTAATCTCGGGCGTAACCGCTGGGTTAGACTCCTGGTTGTTCTTAAAAGTCTTAATAGGTGTATATTCTTGTAACACGTCCAAGATCAACTTACTGAAAAACTCCACTTTGTCGTTAACCTGATCAAATTTCTATTAGCTTCTATTTGTCACAGTTGGCTTGGGTTTTGGTATTGCTGATCTGACTGTGAAGTGAATAAGCAACTAGCAGCTGATGGTACTGTGTGATCATCGCTCTGTCGTATTATTATTAGAGACCAGAGTAACTTTCATCGATCGGTAATGCAGGCATATCTGTAACACGACCTGCTGATTTTTTGCTTCTGTTGGTGGAACCTTGGGATTGTGCACTGACACTTTTCTGTGTTTCGAGTCACAACCCTCACATATCGTAGACCGCGCTTCACCGACACTTCTTTCCTGCGCACTGTCTATTTTTCCTGTCACGATCATGTGGGCACTAATTGTAGGCATTGTACCATGCAGATTTCTCTTAGTTAATACGATTTTATTATTAAAAAAAAAAAAGTAGCAAAGTAGCGTGGCATATTTGATTTTGGCAAGTCCGTCTTCAGTGCAGTTTTATGCCTCCTGCTATACAAATTCACTTTTTGGCTTTTGCTGTTGTCTGCGTGTATTCCTTTTTGTCTGCTTTAGTTTTTATATAAACGTTTTTTTTTAGAGCCCCCTTAATACGGACACCATGGCATGCACTTTTGATGCCCGTATTACCCGGGTTCCAATTGTACTTGGCGTGGCTTGATAACACATGTTCTTCAAATACATTAATAATTCATGAGCTCAACAACCTATCACGTCCGCTAAACTCCGTCACTAGCTCGTGTTTTAAACCCCTGTAAAACACTGTCAAACTTTAAAAAATTTCATCCTCATTAGAATTTTTATGTAAAAAATTCTAATAAGGATGAAATTATATTTCATTGCACGTGACCTATGAATATCAGCACAGCAACTAAACGACAAATGGTGGGTGAATATTTAATGTTCCTTCAAAATAACACACGCAGTAAATTTACTATTGCAAACAATTAAAGTTTGTTCTTTCACCAGTTTCATCAGCCAAAAGTTCAGTGACACAGCGGTAATATTGACTATAGCAGTGTCCAAGGGTTGCACTCAAGAGTTGCCAGTAGTGAATACGCAAGGCTCGAGTACTGGATTTTTTTTACCAACCATTCGGCCATTCCAGAAAAATTTTCTCAAAGAATACTTTTTCAGTGGAATAGTTGACTTTGAGGTACCATTTTCAATTAAATTCCTCTCTTGCTCGGCATTTTTAGGCTTCCGAAAAGCTCTGGAACAAGACGTTTTGTCCTCTTCTGTTAGTGTCGTTCGTAGACTGGAAAATTTCTAAACACGTGTGAGATTTGATTTTCTTACGTAATAATTTCATACGTAATGTTTTTTTCGCATGCTAATTTCCAACGTTCACAAAAGTGCCATTGTTATCAACTCCATTGAGATACGCTTTTCCAGGAATGGTTTTGAAGTTGTTCAATAAACTCGCAGGTCGGGTTTTACCCCGATAAAACCTGACCCGCGTGTTTATTAAACATTTCTTTTAAAAAGAAAACCCACTGTGCTCTCTCAACAAGTCCTAAAGTATACATCTGTACTCTCTGTGGATACTTTTGCTATTTGCGCTTTCTTGGTGATGATGCCTAACCTAACCTACCCTTTCTAATTACATTTTTTGTTTACTCTTAGAAAGACGTTTTCAGTTCGCCTTCCAGACGCAATGGAACGAACGGCTTCCAGCATAATTCAGTTTGTTCTCGAACATGGAATGAATTCAAACAAAGTTCTCAACAATATAAACTATTCCGACACGGAAAATTAAGAGATGAGTCCACTAACACAGAACAGTTTTATACCAAGTAAGGAAGGACAACAAGGAAATTAAAGTGAGCTTGAACGCAGCAGCAATTCAGGCAAAAGAGCTGTGGTGCAGAGCAACTGTGGTACTGGTTACTATCGTCACGACAAAACCCTTGAAAAATATTTTAGTAACTGCAAGACAGTTATTTTGGATACAAATTTTCCAAATAATCGAATTGTTATCTTAAAATTTTCACCCTCGAGAAGTCTTCAAACCATGCATACATACTGTATTTATTTATACACGGTTAAAGCTTCCGTAATGAATATTAAAATGAAGCGTTGAAAAATGTGCGAACTTAAATGATAACAATGATAACAATGCGGTTTTACAAGGTTGTTGTGTATGAGCATGATTGACAGTTCTTGTAAAGTCGAGAAATTTCCTTTTTAGAAAGCGTCAAAGATAGTCTAAACTTTCGTGAAGTAATAGGTAAGCTGCTCCATATTAGCGCCCCTTTGTAGCCAAATCTGTTCTTGCGAACTGGCTTTGATGAACCTAAGAAAATTATTATTATTATTTTAAACTATGAACTTTAAAAAAGACTGGAAGGAATGCCATAAATACTCATTGAACTGTCCGTGAAACCACTTTTTTTAATTCACTTGTTTTTTAACTGAACAGAAAAGGGTATATTTAATCAGTTCGGAATATCCCTATATTAAAGGACAGTTGTGACGTCATGGAGCTATTGTTCTCGAGGGAAATGGCCCATCGATTATCAAAACGACCAGAGTTCACTGTTTCGAGGCTCTTATAGGCATATTTCTAAGACTTTTCATCTGGAATACACAAGGTATGTAAGAGTGCAGCGTATCAGAAGCCATATTGGAAGTGCCTCGAGAAATGTCAGCACATTTTGTGGCTCATTTCTTAGCCTGCTAAGCAAGCGTTTCCGTGCGGTTCAGGAGCAAAGAACGAGGAACGAGAGTTAAACACCTCGCGAAAATGGCCCATGTAAAGGAGCGGGGAAGGGGTGGCGATAAAGGGAGGAAACGCGTGCAATCAAACCCCAGGATTTTGAAAACCGCCCACTTGGCTTGTCATGTCTGAGTTCGCCCACCAACATATTTGATGATGTCATCAGCTGTCATAATTGACCAATAAAATGTGTGGTCTTCCGTGGAGCGGAAATGATTTTTAGAGGACGCGTGTGTGAAACCAAAAAAATTTTTCTTTTGTATTTTGGAACGCGTGGACGGCGTAAATGATGAAATCTCAATGAATCCGAACGGTCAATGCAGGCTTTGTAGATTTGTCTTCTTAATCCGTCTAAAAGGAAGGACCACAAGGTTGAAGGTTTGAAGTTTCAGCTCAAACCCTCAGAAAGTTGGATTTGAAGTTGTACAAGGTCAAAGCTCAGCTAGACAGAACCGCTTACCGTTCTCGTCACGGCACAGACAACAAGAGGTGCTCTTATAAAAGCATCTAAGAACAAAGCTAACCCCCAACTGATGAAGTTGGAGTGGAGAACCGAAACCATGGTCTTGCCCGATCAGAAAGTAGCAGTAACAGAACAGTCGCAATTCATAAGTTATTACCAAGTAATCATTGCTTAATCAGCAATCTTGACTGAGTCACAATGCAGTTCTCCATAGTTGATGTAGCTTCAGTTCAAGGTATAATCCATTCTTCGAAACTTTGGATCTGTAAATCACTATCCGAGAGAATTTAACATCCCGCAAACAACAAAACCACTAACGAGCTGGGCCCAGCATGAAAAAACATTGCAGGAAACCAGCGCATTCGCTGACAAAAGAAAATCGCTTTTAGTTATTCAGATCCAGGAGACACTTTGGAGATTTTGTAGCTAACTGTTAAGCTAAATACATTGACACTAAAATAAAGTCATTATTATTATTATTATTATTATTATTATTATTATTATTATTATTATTATTATTATTATTGTTACTGTTATTATTAAACAAAACGACCTGAAACCCTTATTTAGTCGCAAGAAGAGCTTTGCGTTTTAAAAAAAGGTAATGAAAATGTTCTAGCACTGGAGGGAAAATTTGCCAAATAAACAACAACGACAAAAAATTAACAGGCCTGGAAAATTAAAAAGGGTGTCACGTACCATATATAACCTCTCAGTATGAAACAAACCTTTGATCGACACATGTCAATATTGTTCGACTAGCCGAGCCAATCAGGCGCTGCGTTCGCTGGCGAACGTAGGTTTCAAAAACGAGGGGTTTGTCTGCAAGCGTTTCCTTCCTTCCCCTCAGTAGTTATGCTTCACCATTTTACGCCGTTTTGGTGTATAGGTATAGGTATAGGTAAATCGTTGATATGCATAAGGGTCGAGTCTATGACGTCACCCATTGTTATAACCTGGGGAAAAAGTGCCTTCCTGCATGTTAATTATGTGGCTAGTCAGTGTCTAGTAACTGTCTATATAGTCACTGTCGTCCTGCATATAGGCACAATAGGCTTGCCTAGACTTGCCCGGGCTCTTTTAACCCTGATTGGGTCATGTAGAATCTATTGTCTTCAAAATAAAAGCGGGTAAATTTCGAAAGCGCTATCGTTCTTGCAATCGCTTTGCTAAGGAAAAAAGTCTTACTATCACCAGTATTCTTTAAAACATTGCTTCAAGTCGAATCGAGCGCTACACTTCTGTTGACGATTGACGAAGCGGAAAATGTCCAGCGACAAAAGATGGCCAGTTTATTCGACATGTGTTCCAACTGAATTATAAGGCTATGGTTGACAAACTCATCCAACAAGAAAAGCTGAATCACTCCCATGGGCTGACAGTTAATAAAGGTGATGATGATTCCAATATTGAGAGCTGTTGCGTGACTCACGACGCGCGACACCCGCGCGACAACAACCAATAAGAATGCAAAGAACAATAGGGCCATTTATACGAGGAAAAATAAGACGCGTCTTACATAAGACGCGTCTTAAATAAGACGCGAACTGTACCATTTATACGAGCATGTCTTATCTAATAAGACGCGTCTTAGTTAAGCCGCGTCTTATTTTAGACGAAATGTGCCGTTTATACGGAAAGTTCGCGTCTTATGTAAGACGCGTCTTATTTTTCCTCGTATAAATGGCCCTATTGTGAAAGCTGGGAAGAACGCTATAAAAGTCTTAAACAACAACTCCATCCAGATTACAAAAAGGAAGGTCAAGAAACGGTTCACTGATGGCCACCTCTCGAGTTTTACGCAATTTGGTCATGATGTTAAGAGAAAAATGGCTAAAAATGGGAGTTACTGGAAAACACGCAATGTCAATTGTGTCAGGAAGAAAAGGAGTGTGACCAATTAAAAGATCCATGTTTAGCTCTTCGACTGGAAAACGATAGCCTTGGTTATATAATGCTCTGTCAAGACTTGGACAGCAAGAGACCAGGAGACACCGTAAAAGAGTACAGTTGTCCAAGTTGTATAGGAATGGCGGGGCCGGCTAGAGAATTTCCCAAACGTATATAGACTGAAGATAAAAGTATTGCGAAACTCGGCCCGATAGTCCTTTTTTTTCCTGGTTTTGGCCCTTTTTACCTTCGTTTGGCCTTTTTAATCTTGCTTTGGCCCGTGTGATCTTCTAAATAACTGGTCGATGTAACAGCCATTATTATTTACGAAGGAGTACGCTTAGTAACCCCGCCTTCACCAATTTTCTATAAAACGGACGCGTTAATTTCTGACGTTTAGTTTCCTATCAGAACGCGTGCGGTTCAAACCAAAAAATGTGGAACAGTAACCTCCATTACAAACTTCTTTAAGAAGGTGCTGGAAAATATAAAGGTTGCGAAGAAAGCGAAGTGTCTAGCCAAGTAACGGAGTCTTCCCCACAAGAAACAGAAAACTTAAAGCCTTGGTCACGCATTTTTGATGAAGCCGAGAAACGCCATGAGACCCAGCTAAACCCATTGATCAATGAGTACGAAGGGAACGGAGATTCAGAAAATGTGGCCCGCGAGAACACTCCTCTTCCCGTTTACAGAAAAGAGCTAAGAAAAGTACTCTTAGAGAATCTACAGTGCATGCGTGCAATGAAAAAAGATCCACCTTCAAAAAAAGTGGTGGAAACCCAAGAACTTAAATATTGAGAAGGATTTGATTGGCCTGCATCGACAGAACTAGCAATCGATAAGCGAAAATTCTTACTCAATCGATTGTACGAAAAGTAACCTATTCCACAAGATCAAGACTAGACCTACTATGAATGTTACAGAATTTTTTTTCCTGCACCTTTGTATTGTTGCGTTTCAATAAAAACTGTAAACAACCAAACTTTAAGTGTGTTTTATTGATGACTTCACAACCTTAACAACCTTTTGCTTTTCAAATCGCAGAATTGCAACTGCATGATAATCGCTCGCTTATCAACAAACACTTGACCTTTACGCTCCGTCATGAACCGCAAACGGGCAGGATTACTACCCGATTTGAATATTCAAGCATAGCGACCGCGTCCGCGCGGCAATACAGCACTTGTGATTTTTCCTTTCTCAGCGATGGTTGATCAGTTTACATTATAATTTTTATACTACTTTCCGTAACAACGCTTTGCAAAATGACAACAGTCATTGGGTATGCCTTGCAATTGTATCTGAATTACGGAAATAGCACTTGAAATGAAGAAACGAAAATAAGAAAGTAGAAAAATTCAAGGAGTTTTCAAGACCTAATAAAGAAATCAAGTACTTTTCAAGAACCTTAACCGAATTCAAGGACTTTTCAAGATGACTAATAAAATTCTTCAAGACCTTTTGAAGATTGTATGAGCCATTGGGAATAATAATGTTTTTTAAAAAAGCAAGGGGTCAAAGAAGGAAAGTGTAGATTTATTTATGAAGATGGACANCGAGGAAAAATAAGACGCGTCTTACATAAGACGCGTCTTAAATAAGACGCGAACTGTACCATTTATACGAGCATGTCTTATCTAATAAGACGCGTCTTAGTTAAGCCGCGTCTTATTTTAGACGAAATGTGCCGTTTATACGGAAAGTTCGCGTCTTATGTAAGACGCGTCTTATTTTTCCTCGTATAAATGGCCCTATTGTGAAAGCTGGGAAGAACGCTATAAAAGTCTTAAACAACAACTCCATCCAGATTACAAAAAGGAAGGTCAAGAAACGGTTCACTGATGGCCACCTCTCGAGTTTTACGCAATTTGGTCATGATGTTAAGAGAAAAATGGCTAAAAATGGGAGTTACTGGAAAACACGCAATGTCAATTGTGTCAGGAAGAAAAGGAGTGTGACCAATTAAAAGATCCATGTTTAGCTCTTCGACTGGAAAACGATAGCCTTGGTTATATAATGCTCTGTCAAGACTTGGACAGCAAGAGACCAGGAGACACCGTAAAAGAGTACAGTTGTCCAAGTTGTATAGGAATGGCGGGGCCGGCTAGAGAATTTCCCAAACGTATATAGACTGAAGATAAAAGTATTGCGAAACTCGGCCCGATAGTCCTTTTTTTTCCTGGTTTTGGCCCTTTTTACCTTCGTTTGGCCTTTTTAATCTTGCTTTGGCCCGTGTGATCTTCTAAATAACTGGTCGATGTAACAGCCATTATTATTTACGAAGGAGTACGCTTAGTAACCCCGCCTTCACCAATTTTCTATAAAACGGACGCGTTAATTTCTGACGTTTAGTTTCCTATCAGAACGCGTGCGGTTCAAACCAAAAAATGTGGAACAGTAACCTCCATTACAAACTTCTTTAAGAAGGTGCTGGAAAATATAAAGGTTGCGAAGAAAGCGAAGTGTCTAGCCAAGTAACGGAGTCTTCCCCACAAGAAACAGAAAACTTAAAGCCTTGGTCACGCATTTTTGATGAAGCCGAGAAACGCCATGAGACCCAGCTAAACCCATTGATCAATGAGTACGAAGGGAACGGAGATTCAGAAAATGTGGCCCGCGAGAACACTCCTCTTCCCGTTTACAGAAAAGAGCTAAGAAAAGTACTCTTAGAGAATCTACAGTGCATGCGTGCAATGAAAAAAGATCCACCTTCAAAAAAAGTGGTGGAAACCCAAGAACTTAAATATTGAGAAGGATTTGATTGGCCTGCATCGACAGAACTAGCAATCGATAAGCGAAAATTCTTACTCAATCGATTGTACGAAAAGTAACCTATTCCACAAGATCAAGACTAGACCTACTATGAATGTTACAGAATTTTTTTTCCTGCACCTTTGTATTGTTGCGTTTCAATAAAAACTGTAAACAACCAAACTTTAAGTGTGTTTTATTGATGACTTCACAACCTTAACAACCTTTTGCTTTTCAAATCGCAGAATTGCAACTGCATGATAATCGCTCGCTTATCAACAAACACTTGACCTTTACGCTCCGTCATGAACCGCAAACGGGCAGGATTACTACCCGATTTGAATATTCAAGCATAGCGACCGCGTCCGCGCGGCAATACAGCACTTGTGATTTTTCCTTTCTCAGCGATGGTTGATCAGTTTACATTATAATTTTTATACTACTTTCCGTAACAACGCTTTGCAAAATGACGACAGTCATTGGGTATGCCTTGCAATTGTATCTGAATTACGGAAATAGCACTTGAAATGAAGAAACGAAAATAAGAAAGTAGAAAAATTCAAGGAGTTTTCAAGACCTAATAAAGAAATCAAGTACTTTTCAAGAACCTTAACCGAATTCAAGGACTTTTCAAGATGACTAATAAAATTCTTCAAGACCTTTTGAAGATTGTATGAGCCATTGGGAATAATAATGTTTTTTAAAAAAGCAAGGGGTCAAAGAAGGAAAGTGTAGATTTATTTATGAAGATGGACAAAGAACGTGAGGAAAGCTTTTGAATTTCCGAAAGTGGTCTCTCGTTTCGGTCTTGTTGACAATTATTCAGTTGTTTATATACAATGAAACGAGTGAACTGATTGCTACCTAAGCTCTTGTTATCATAATATTATGTAAATGTTGGACTATGTTCCTTCAAATTGAAGGTTATTATTTGTTTTACAATTTCTTTCTATTAACTTCAATTCGGTGCTTATATAAAAGAGAGAGAATATAAACTTCAATAATAAATTTACACTGAAACGTTACAGTAGAACCCTGGTATGAGAAGGTGCCAAGTTCTCAAGTTCCCAATGCTTTTTAGCATTAATTAAATTTCAAAAAACTTATATTTAAGCTTACTTTGCCACCGTATAGCGCCGTATAGCTGCCGGGTCCTCATAATTTGGCCAAAAACTAGCGAAGCAAAACGCTAAGTTATCCATTCATAAACTTTAAAAAAAAATGCAGCTGCAAAAAAGTTCAAAGTGCAAACAACAATGCATAACGAACGGCAGATAGTGTAGATTTTCAGATTTTTTCGGATTTTATTGCTTTTGCACTATTTACATATTGATTGCATTGGAATTTTAATTTGTATAAGTACCTTACGGCAATAATGTCAGAAATAGAGATAACAAGAAATTAAGGAATTAAGATGT